CAATCTTAAGCAATCTTATTCAATTAAACATTCGTAAATATTCCCTAGACCGCATTTTTTTTCTTATAGAATTCATACTCTTTTTCATTAAACTATTTGAAAGACTAGTTTTCCTCTTTCCATAAGTATTTTAAATGTGGGCTAAATTATGAATATATAAACACGTATCCTTTAGCCTAACTTAACCAGTCTTATCCAAAATTCCCTGAACCGAACTCAGATTATTTTTTATAAAAAGATTATATAAACCTTTAAAATTAATCTTCCCTTAGATTTTTAATATAGACTATAATTTTTTCTAGCTCATCTTAACGAGTCTCTAGATCAATCTTATTACAGAATCCCTAAACCAATCTTATTCTTATATCTTAGTTTTTCGTCTTCTTCATTTTGTAATTTCTTCTTTTTAGTAGAGCCTTGGATCTATGCCTCTTCTCCTTGTATGTAGAAAGGCTTTCTTTCATGATTTGCCATCTGTATTCAATGTTTAGGTTTGTTTCATCTTCTCTCTGGTATATTTTCTTCCTTGTACTTCTACTTGTAAGGATTCCAGAATTTGACAGACCTTTAGTAGAGCTATTATTCTCACTGCTGAAATCAGCTTGATTCCCACCGAAGATTAGTTCCTCTTGAGTGTAGTATTACCCTGCGTCTTGCACAGTTGGACGCTGTAATTCCTTTTCACTGTAATTTAGGTCAGCTTGGTTGCAAAGTATTTCAGCTTCTTGCTCAGTTTGGCGCTGAGGTTCCTTGCCAGTGGTTTGGTTTAAAGCTGAAGGCTTTTGGTCTAGTATCAGTTCAAAAACCTTGTTAATCGCCTGGGTCACTGATTCAATAATAACAGCCTGGATCTCCTCCCAAGATATTGGAAGCTTCTCAGATTCTACTGAGCTCTCCATATCTGAATCATCTGGCATGTTTTCTTGAGGATGCTGATCGCTCATTTCAATACAATAACAAGAGTCTCAATCTCAGTTCAGTCTAGCAAAGTCCAGCGTCTCTACAAGTTGCTTATCAGCTGTCTCTTTCAAACTGCCTGCCTCTGGCAGATATTGCTCCCCTCAGCAGTCTCACACACAAGCCGAATGTTTTGCAGCTTCATGGTAAAAACTAAACAGAGTGCGCTTCTGTTCTCAGCAGTAAAGCATGACGTCACAAAGAATTGTCGCAAGATAGTGAATTTCACTCTGTATATCTTTCTTTCTTTTTAGAAGTTCAAACAAAAGTCCCTCTTTGCCCCAGAAAATGTTTATCTCAAGATTCTTTTCGTGACTCTTATCACGTCTCTGTCGCTTCACTCAGAAAAGGGGGGGGGATTCCACCTCTCTTTTCTGTATCATTTTGAAAATTTAAAGGGGTTATCCGGAGAAATCATCAGATTCTTCAATGTGCTATTACAGGTACTTACGGTGCGTGTCTTCATTGGATGTTATGGATGAGGCTCAAAATAACTCTCTTAGTTAGGAGCGTTCACAACTGGTGCAGGTTATGACTGCCAAACCTGCTCTTCTTCATTCTGTGCTTCTGGGACGATCCAGGGCTGCCACCCACTTGTTGCTGCAAGTGGGGCCCCCGAATCAAGTTCCTTGCACCAGACCTCCCTCCAGGAGGTCCAGTGAGGGTTGGAATCCCCCGAAAACCCCCCATAAAAGAATAAAGAATCAGTGGTAGCCGGGAGCGATTTCTGGTGCCCACTGAATTACTGCACCACATCTCTACCTTGAGGCCAAGACCTTCCCTGATGCTACCTCCTAGCACTGTTATTCAGAAGTTTCTTCTGAATATGTAAGTAGCCTTTGGTTGTCATGGGTAGTAGCCATTGATGGGCCTATCATCCATGATTTTTTATAACTTCCTTTTCTGTATTAGCACCCATTATTACATCTACTGGTATTGAGTTACACAGTTTAATTATTCGTTTAATGAAGTAGTTTTGTTTGCCCTGAATCTCTTGCCCATTAGCTTCACCCTCCCCACACACATTTTAGTATTATGGTATAGAGCAAGGGTGTCAAACATGTGGCCCGTGGGCCGGATCAGGCCTTCATGGGGCTCCAATCTGGCCCACAAGGCCCTGGATGCTTCCTGCTTCCTTTTCCAGTTCTGCTGCTGCTGCTACATCACAGTTTGCTTTACCAGACTCTCTCAATCACACAGGAGAGATAAATAGGTAAGTCTTGCCTGTGCGATTGAGAGAGTCTGGTAAAGCACTGGCTGAGGCTCCTCCCCCTTCACCCCCCAAGGGGCAGGTGGGAACCAACCAGAGCTCGCTTCCTGGCCAGGCTGCTTCAATTGTATACAGGAGACAAAGGGAAGCCTTTCTTTCCTTTCACTGGCTGAGGGTCCTCCCTGAAGGAAGGGAGGGAGGGAGGGAACTAGGGAGAGCTTGTTTTGCTGGGCTGCCTCAATTGCACGGAAGAAATACCAGACACTTTTAAGACCAACAAAGTTTTGTTCAAGTTATGAGCTTTTGTGTGCCTTGATACAGTGTGTTTGTATTCTTTTGGACTGCTTATGCTGTGTGTGTGTGTTTTGTTGGGCTCCTTATGCCAGGGCTCTCCTGGGTGCAACTGGGTTCCCTCCCCCTTTTCACTGTATTCATGCATCATGATCCAGTCTTCCTCAGTAAGAAAGCCATGTGAACTATTTTAGAGGAGGAATAACTGCAAGGCAATGAGGTGGATTAGGCTGACAGTATGTGTCCAGACCAAGTTCACCCAGCACATTTCCTTTGTAGGAAGTTGTAGTTATTTCTCTGGGGAAGACTGTAGTTTGGTAGACAAACAAACAGCCCTCAGTCTGTATCAGGATGCCTTCTCATGTTCTTGACCAGCGCATGAAACAACTTGTGTACAAAAGCTTGCAATGCCCAGCCATTTCATGTTTTGCCCTGGGTCCTAGGTTCAGAACACCGAGCACGAGATTTCTGTAATGAATGTCAATAAATCTAAAGTAGGTTTGCAGCTTACAGGTACACACCTGAACAGCATACTCAAGATTGCAACAGCACAGACATTTTGATGCAGTAATTCAGAGCAAGAGTTGTCAGTTATCAGAGACTGTTAAATAGACAAAATATTGCAAGAGTGCTAGTGTTTTAAACATGTTTTATTTAAAGTTTAAAAAATCTTTAATTGTGTTTGTCTGTGTCCTTTATAAAGTTTATATCTTCGTTACCTAGCATTACATTTTATGACACACATGGCCCGGCCCAACAAGGTCTTATTTATGCTGGATCTAGCCCTCATAACAAATTAGTTCAACATGCCTGGTATAGACAGAAAAAGTTCTCTCAATCTACTTTCTTGTTTCCCCTCAAGTTGTTATCTCAATCCACTTTCTGTTTCCCCTCAAGTTGTTATATTCTGTAAACTGAAGAGCTCCAGACTCTTCTGTCTTTTCTTAATCAGTTCTGTAAACTGTATTTTGAGGTGTGGTGACCAGAGCATCCATGGTATTCCAAATGAGGCCACACTATAGATCTATACAAAGTTATTACAATATTGGACATTTTATTTTCAATCCCTTTCCTAATCTTAATACATAGTTTGCTTTTTTTGCTGCTGCTACACATCAAGTCAACATTTTTGTCTGTCTGCCCACTATAGCCCCAAGATCTTTCGCTCTCAGTCATTGTCCATTTGGACACTATCGGCTTATATTTAAAGTTAAGATGTTTTGCTCCCAAGTGTATCACCTTGCACTTGTTGCCCTCTATCGCTGTCTTGTTTTCTGTTGTGTTTGGCATTCCCTCACTGACCCTCCTTAACTGATCATGTGTATGTATCTATGTGCTTGTGTTTTGTTGAATTTGTTGTATTGTTACATTTAAATGCATTTTAAATTTTGTTTTAGTGTTTTTACTCTTTATCACCTGGTCAGGCTAAACTAGGTAGAAAGATGGCATATATAGTTTTAAATAAATAACTGTATTGAACATTTGCCACATTGCTAGCTGCTCACCCAATTTGGACAGATGATCTTGGAGGTGTTCACATTCCATTTTGATTTTCACTATCCTGGCAAGATGTTAGAACTTGTGCCATCAGACCTCGCACCCTCTGGATTGCTGCTTAGTCACCAATTCTAGCCACTGTATGCAGCAAAAGAGATAATCATTAAGAGAAGTCAATTCTAATAATTACAATTAGTACCACAGAATGTTTCCATTAGTGTGGTTTTGGAGTTAAACCTGTTATTTAGAAAGATTCACAGTATAATTATGTCTGCCCTAGTTGCAAAGTGACTCAGCATTGTCTTGATGTTTGGGAGTGAAAGGTGTTCCAAGGTTTTCAGTTAAGTCATGACTATTCAGTACAATATTTTTGTCATTATGGTAGGCTTTAGTTTCAGCTGAACAATTAGAAAGGTCAGGATTGAAAATCATAACTTTGTAGTACTTAAACAAGGCACCTAAAATATTTAACATTTTTAACAGCAATATCATAGAGCTATCAATTAACAGATGGGCCGGTTTGACAGGTGGCACCTTTGTGAATAAAATTTTATAAATATATTTTAAATTGGGCACTCTCAGTGTGACAGTTACTTTGATTGTCTGTGCTGTAACCAGTTCACATAATGTTTTAATATTTCTTTACAAAATTTATAAACAGCTTTTCTGCCCTCATAAGGGACACCAAGGCAGTTAACAAATGTAAACATACAAAATAAAATTACATTTTAAAACCGTTAGACCAACCTCCAAAAAGCATTAAAACAGTTAAAACCAGAGCTAAAATACATTGGTGAAGAGACTGGGCAAAATATTTGAATACTGCATTTTATGTTCTAAAATTTGTCGACTTTTGAGTCCTATGCATAATTGAACAGATACACAGAAATATGTGTACAGAGGAACACATGTGGCAGGAATTTATATGTCACATTTAGAACTGTAAGTTTATATGAATAAAAGAGATAAAGGTAGTGTGATTAAAACAGTAAATAAAAGAGTTCTGGTGGAAACAAACTCTCATTTTTTAAAAATTATTTTTCAGAGAAGATGACCTCATCAAACCAGCTGTCTAACAAGGACAACATCAAAACCACGGAGAACACAGAAGAGCACAGCTATAAGCAGGGGAAAAAGACCCGAGCCACCCTAAGGACAACAGAACGGGATCACAAGAAAAATGTACAGTGCTCATTCATGTTGGACTCGGTTGGTGGGTCCTTGCCAAAAAAACCGATTCCAGATGTTGATCTCAATAAGCCTTACCTCAGCCTTGGCTGCAGCAATGCGAAGCCTCCAGTATCTGTACCTGTGCCTATAGCCAAAACCACACGTCAGACTTCTCGTACTGATTACCCTGCAGACCGTTTAAAGTTCTTTGAAACCCTACGGCTTTTGTTAAAGCTTACCTCAGTTTCCAAGAAAAAGGACAAGGAACAGAAAGGGCAGGAAAGCACCTCCGCTGTTGAGTTAAACCGATCCAATGAACTAATCTGGCTTGAGCTTCAGGCTTGGCATGCAGGCCGGAGTATTAATGACCAAGACTTCTATTTATATACAGCCCGCCAAGCCATCCCAGATATTGTCAATGAAATTCTTACTTTCAAGGTGAACTATGGGAACCTCTCCTGTGTAGGGAATAGAGCTAGTCTTAATGGTACATCAGGAGGACAGTGTAAAGCAGCCCACGGTGCAAGTGCTGTGAGCTATGCAAGCTACCATGAACACCTCCATCACCAGCGAGTGTCGTTTGAGCAGGTAAAGCGGATAATGGAGCTGCTAGAATATGTAGAAGCACTTTATCCATCTCTGAAGGCCCTTCAAAGTGATTATGAAAAGTATGCTGCAAAGGATTTTCAGGACAGGGTGCAGGCACTCTGTCTCTGGTTAAATATTACAAAAGACTTAAACCAGAAGTTAAGGATTATGGGGACTGTTTTGGGGATCAAGGATCTCTCTGACATTGGCTGGCCAGTGTTTGAAATCCCTTCTCCACGCTCATTCAGGGACAATGATCCAGAGGATGATAGGGAAACCTCGGGGACATGCACAGAGGAAAGTGAAGATGAAGAACAAATCTCTGAAGAGAATGTGGAGGAACTCAGACAAGCCATCCAGAATAATTTTACCAATAAGCCAAATTTTGACTTTCGGGCACAAGACCATTTGTCGAGGAAACTTGACAGGCTTGAATCTGAGGATGACTCAACTGGCTGGGTTGTTATGGAGTGCAGTGGTGAGGCAGGCTGCAGCAGACACTGTTTGACCTCTATTTATAGACCATTTGTAGATAAAGCACTGAAACAAATGGGCTTGCGAAAGCTAATTTTAAGACTGCACAAGTTAATGCATGGTTCCTTGCAAAGGGCTCGAATGGCATTGATAAAGAATGATCAGCAGTTGGAGGTAGGTTTTCCTGGGTGGCTCATGTTTGTTGGTAAGAGGCTTTTAATTAACAGTTTCTCCATTCTTGCATGTTTTTCAAGGATGGTTCTTATTGTGCATATATGGTTGATGTGTCATTATATACCCAATTAACCAGCCATCTTTCTTGAGTGCTGTAGCATAGTATTGCATATAAAAATACAGTAAGGTACTCCCTTCTCTACCCAATTGAATTTCCAGTATGCACAAATTCTGTGTGGGGGAGCCAATTAGAGATGTGCGTTCGGGCCTGAACCGTTCGGGCCCCTTTCGGGCTGCTGCAGGCCGATTCAGATTCTCTGATCTGAATTGGCTTGCTGCCGAATTGCCACCGAAATTCGGCGGCAATTCAGCCCCATTATATCCTATGGGCCATTGAAGTCAATGGCAAAAACATAGGATATATTCTGGAGGCTGGAAGGGAGGGGGTTTGAGGGAGATGCGCCAAACTTGCAGGGTAGCTGCTGGAACCTCTGACCAAGAAAGAGATGCGCCAAACTTGCAGGGTAGCTGCAGGAACCTCTGACCAAGATACCTACCAGGTTTCAAGAATACTGGACCAGGGGGTCCAATTTTATGGGCCCCCAGGCTGCCCCCCATCCCCTCCATTGTTCTCTATGGTGGGGGAAAAGTTACTTTTTGCCCATGGTGCTGTTAGTGGCTCTGGGGGGGGGGGAAGGGTTTGAGGGAGAGGCTCCAAATTTTCAGGGTAGCTTCAGGAGCCTATCCCCACATAAACCCCCAAGTTCCAAAGCAATTGGACCAGTGGGCCCAATTCTATGGACACCCAAACAGGTTACCCCCATTCCCTCCATTGTTTCCAATGGGGAAACCCAGCCAGCAGCACTTAAGGCAGGCAAGCAGGCAGCACCCAGCAGTCAGACTCTCCCAGAGAATCTCAGGGGAAGTGAACTGTCTTGGAAAGTGCTTGTTTGCCATGAGAACAAGTGGCACACTCCAGAACAAGTGGCACTGTGGCAGAGCAAGCATGCCACAGTGCCACATGACCAACAGGAACAACAAAGACCAACAGGAACAACATAGGATATTATGACATTTTAATTGAGATTCGGCTGGCCGAAAGACTCCCGAATGGGCTGGTACTGTCGAAATTGAGAACAAGTGGCACACTCCAGAACAAGTGGCATTGTGGCAGTGCAAGCATGCCACAGTGCCACACAGAAACCCCAAAAGACCAACAGGAACAACATAGGATATAATGGGGCCGAAATTTTATTATTACATTTAAATTGACATTCGGCTGGCCGAAAGACTCCCGAATGGGCTGGTACTGCTGAAATTGACATGCAGGAGTCTTTCTGCCGGCTGAAATTGATTCTGCCCGATTCGGCCAAATCGAATCGGGCCAATTTTTTTTTTTTGCACACCCCTAGAGCCAATGTCTTCATGGAACTCAACAAAATAGAGCTGAAACAGACATATACCTAGAACGTGACCAGTTTTGAGAATTCGGTGTATGGGTTTTGTAATATAGCTTGGCACAAACTAATTACGGAATCTGATAATTCCTTTTCCATCCCCATTCATTTCCTCTCTTCTGTGAACATCTAACTACTCTAGAATATACATATTCCTCATGAGGGAAGATGCCTATACAAATGTGCTTTCTGGACATTTGATATCCAAGAGACGATTTCTGACTTTGTGATAAATGTCAGTTACTTCTTTGATAAAACATTAGTTTTAAACAATAAACTGTGCATGATTATAGTAAACAGGGGTGCATGATTGTAGCGCATGATTACAGTAAATGAGTGGCTTATCCATTAGGCAGCCCTTGGCAATTGCCCAGGGTGCTAGTGGTGAAGGGGCACCAACCAACCCTGCCAGGTTCCTTCTCCCCCTGCCCAGCTGCCTGTGGCATCAAGGTCTGCACCAGTGTGGAGCCAGCCCCCTTCTTGTTTCCCTCCACTGGGGGCAGGGTGGGCCTGGCCCCAGCCCTCTTCCTTCTTACTTTGCCTGACTGTGGTGGGGCAGAGAGCCAGTAGTGGTGGCAGCCTTTCACTGTGGTGGGAAAGAGGGCAGGTGCCTTCATCCTGCCTCCCTGTGTCATGGGGAGTGGCTTAGGTACCTGAACCTAGGGCCAGCACTGATAGTAAAATGTGTATGTGTTGTGTATAAAAATATGGGTATGATGCCTCATTGTGACTGTGTTATCAGGTTGCTTTTTAAACTTTTTACAAGAGTGGTTTCAGATTGATTTTAAAATCATAAAACAGTAGGATTGTGTCATTGGAGAGAATTCCAAGTCCTCCCTTATGCTTTGAGGTAGTGTTTATTGTTCCTGAACTCTTACTACAACTTCTTATGGAACATGGCTGTCGTCCTGTGTAACTTTCTCCATTGGCAAAATGATCTCACAATGAGAACATTTCTCTTAATATCTAAGCAGTTTTTCTGCAGTTCAGATTCATAAAATGTGAAATAAAATTAGTATTACTGTTAGGGCTTGAGTTTTAGCTGTCCAACAATAATGTGATAATTCCAGTGACAGAGTTTTTCCTGATCTTTCTGTGAAGAATCATATCTAGTACAGGAAATGAAATTACATGGGTTGTCAAGAAATCCGCATTATTGTATTTTGGAAACTGGGGTGTGGATGTGAATAGCAGGGTTTAAGAAAGATTGAGATTCTGACTGGAACCAATTTTCAAATTAACTGGTTTGTATCTGGGATTGGGATGGAAGCAAATTGTATTTTTATATAAAACAGTATTTGAATGACAATTCTAATGCAGCTAAGTTTTCACCTTTTCATTCGTATTATATTGTTTTTTAAAAAAAACAAAAGCAGTAGTCTAACCTTTCTACAAGTGTCCATCCCCCCCAATGCCTGCCATCTAACTGGACACACAAGAAATATAACCACAGTTAGTATAAGGAAATTAAATTTTTTGAACTGGTTACTTCATTGTATATTTGTTCCTCCAATCTGGTTCTCTGTTCTGAAGTAGCTACAGCCTTCCAAAGACAACTGACTTCACTAGACTTAGAAGGGTGAAACTTTGGTTTGCACTGTATATGTTAGTGCCCAAAATGTCAAAAATGTGCTAGTGATATATAAAACAACAACAAAAAGATTTTTGCAGCCACGTGATTTTTTGCTACCACATGTGAAAGTTAAGACATTTGCTGAGCAATCTTATGATCCATGCCTGCAAAACTGGCATAATGTCAGCATAATTTAATTGGTAATCTGAATACCAAATGATATATTTTAAAGGAACAGAGCATAGCAGCAGCACTAAAGCCCATAGCAATATATGCCTGGTATGCCAACATGATTGGTTGATGTGACCTCCATGTTAGCCATGAATCAGAGGAGCCAGTCCATATACAGTGATGCCAGTGCATCAATGTGATGTCACCACGTACCTCTCCCCAAACACACACCAGAGTGGATAACAGCATAGTGCCCTCAGGTGCAAGAACTATTGTGGTATTTGCAGTGGAAGCCCCATAGCTGTCATATTCCAAGGATCCTTTTTTAAAAAAATATTCCAAGGATCCTTGCAAGCAGGGGGTTCAAATTTCCATATGCCATACATACTGCCAAGAGCTACTGTTTTGACAAGACAATACACCAAAAGGAAGGCCAGCAAGCATCCCATACAGTTCACCTCTGTATATCACCTGGGAGAGGAATCCCAAAGGAAAACACATGGCTTCCCCAAACAATGGGTCAAGTGCCATTGGAGGAACAGTGCTGCAGAGAGGGAAAGAAGCCTTTTCTGCAAGCAGGGACAACACCAAAGAAGAACAATTGGATGCACATTTGGTCAACATCTGCAGTACATAGAATCTAGGCTTATTAAGTGGTAGCGAATAAGCAAAGGTGATTATGGCACCACCTAGGTACTCTTCGAGTTCCCATGCCTCATCTCTATCCCTCCTAGCAGTTGACTTAGGGAAATGGTATAGGGAGTTTGCTATCGTTTCTGTTCATGCTGCTTCATATATCCAGACTGTGATCCTGCAAGGCAAGAAGGGTCAAGTGCTTGTTCTGCTTTAGCAGTGGTTCCCGTAAAGTGCCTAGTTCTTAGCCAGGAAGGAGATTGTTTCTCCCTGTTGCCTTCTCCAGTGCCTGGTGGAAGCTTATTTGCCTATTTACCATGTACATTCCTATGTTAAGCCATTGGAGACTGATGGATTCAAATTCCTCTCTGGTGCTTGCGTTTTCAGAAGAAGTATCTGTAAGGGTTCTAAATAGCACAGTTCCTGATGGTGGGGTATCGTCAAGACGTTTCAGCATAGGGGATTTAGTTCTATGGCTCTTTGGCTGGTGTAATAGGATCATAGGATAGTTGTCAATATATTTAACATTTTGGAGTAGCTTAATTGCACTTCATCAGGTCATTCTGTGTTCATTGTGTTTAAATTATCTAACACCAAAAAGAAGAGAGGGAAAACTTTGTCAAAATGTTTATGTTTAAAAGGTAGAGGTTTCCCTTGCTTGAAAGCTAGTTGAATCCGACTCTGGGGGGCGGTGCTCCTCTCCATTTCCAAGCCGAAGAGCCAGCTCTATCCAAAGATGCTTCCATGGTCATGTGGCTGGCATGACTAAACGCCGAGGCACACAGAATGGTGTTACTTTCCCACCGAAGTGGTACTTATTTATCTACTTGCAGTTTCTTGCTTTCAAACTGCTAGGTTGGCAGGAGCTGGGGCCAGAGACAGGAGCTCACTCTGTCATGCGGCGCTAGGGTCTCGAACTGCCAAGCCTACAGACCTTCCGGTCTGCAGCTCAGCGTCTGGAGTAGGATATGAAAGGCAGAAGGGAGCTTTGTTCACATCTCTTAGTTACTTACAGTATTTTATTTAGAATTCAGTTTAATAGTAAGCTTTAAAATATTGATCTCAGTAGAACCATGTAGATTAATAGAAAAAGGGGACAGTATACGGTGTGGGTTAATGATGTTTGGAGGAAACCTAAATGCCCTGCTGAGAATGCAGAGATGGTTGTATGATTCTGTGGATTATGGCCTCAGTCATAAAACAGCAGGTGTCCTAGGAAGTTGACTTACCTGGCTGACTTTCCAATAAGCTTTTCTTAAATATCGGGCAGTTTAAATCAGACGTTGCTTATTTTATTGTGTCTCTTTCTTGTTACAGTTTTCAGAGTACCCTGATCCCATTTTATGTTCAGATTACGTGCAGTTGTCAAATTCTCCGTCTTCTTCAGATCAAAAATGCAGTACTGTGTCATGGGAAGAGCTGAAATCAATGGATTTACCATCTTTTGAACCTGCATTTCTAGTTCTTTGCCGTGTCCTTCTCAATGTCATCCATGAGTGTCTCAAATTAAGGTTGGAACAGCAGCCTGCTGGAGAGCCATCTCTCTTGAGTATTAAGCAGGTTTGTCTAATGTGTTTTATTGGCATTCTCATCTGTTCTTAGTAGTTAAGATTGTATCCAGATGTCTTAAGTGCAGATAATTAGAACTTGTTAAAGAAGGTGTTATCTATGGATAATTTTAACACCTTGCAAAGAATTTTCTAATGATGGGGGGTTTACCAGCATTAATAATTACATCATGTGTCTCTTCTCCCAAACCGCCTTCAATGATAAACCTTTTTAGAAGAACAATATGCTGTCATTTTCATTTCTGGTAGGAATTAAATTAATATAATTACTGAGGATACTGTGAATAGTAAGTAATGGTCATATATGTTACAAAGCTGGCAAAGAATTACATTAGATAGCAAAACATATATAGCCTAAGTCATATCTGTTTAATGAGATTTTAGTTCTCTCATCTCATCCTGTTTAATTGAATTATAATACAATAAAGCAAGGAAAGACTTCCCTGTCTAGAAGGGCCCAGTCTAAATTATGCACAGGGCCACTTTACTATGTTCTGTACACTTTACTGTGTTATTACTCTTCTGCTTCTGGTTTATAGGCCACAGATGGCTTCTGAGAAGCTAGTGTGCCATCTGCTTCTTCTTAAATTTTGTCCACACAGCTTCTCCCTCTAAGATGGAGGACATCTTGGTGGGTGATTCCCACCCTCCAATCTGGGAGGCAGGAATAAAGTCTTCCACTTCCTGTCTCCTTGGTGGGAGTTACCCAACTCTCCAGTCCCTTTTCTGCCTCGACAGGGAGAGCAGTTTAGAACAGGAGCTGTCTCACCTATTCTACTATTTTCCCCACTCTTTACTTGTTTTACTTCTCTAGATCTCTGTTTTTCTTAACTTTCACTTCCATCTAAATTCTTCTAAACTCTTCAGTTCCTTTCTCTCTTTTGTCTCCACAAAGAGAATGAGAAGGATTTCAAGCCTCCAGCAGGGGTGCGACCTTCTGCTGCGGCAGCTAGTTCCTCACCTCCCCACTCACCTGCCTTCACAGAACATGTATCTGAACGCTCTAGAAATTGAGACTCTGGAAAGCAGCAATGGCTTCCTCTCCAAAGGAGAGCTGGAAGCCCCTCTCACAGCCAGTCCTGGCTCCAAAGCCAACGCGACCATGGCAGATCGACCAGGAGCCAGCTTGTCAGTCAGACCTGGGAAGAAGAAGAAGGCAGAGAACTAAAAGCATGCCAAAAAGAGGCACCATTCCTCCATATCTGCAGCTCCCACAGTGGCCATGTCTGAGCCTGTCACTGGTGACCAACTTGCCAACTGACTGGGAGGAGGACGCAGAGTGGTGTTTCCCACATCCATAAGCCAGGCAGAGATTGCAGGATCCAGAGAAAAGTTCCAAAACTGTCCTTCTGAACAAGGAGCAGTGGCAAGCGGGGTCCACATCCGACAACACTTTGGGTATGCTCATGAGTAACACACAAACATCAGACACCTATCTGGGTCTGCTTGTGAGTAACTCGCAAGTATCAGGAAATGATCGAAGCCTGCTCATGAGTAATGCGCAAAGATCAGGACCACCGTCCATGCCTTCCCCTGAATTTATAGCCTTACTTAAACAGACTTTGAGGGAGGAGATTCCCAGTTCCTGCCAGGGTGGAGATAACAGGCATAGATCTCACTCTAGCCCGGGGTGTAAAGGATGTGGCCTGAGGGCCAGATCAGGCCCCCAGAGGGCTTCTATCAGGCCCGCAGTGGAACTGGCTGTCTTCTGCTGCTTCTTCCAGTTCTGCTGCTGCTGTGTCATTGTAGGTTTGCAGCTTACAGATACACACCTGAACAGCATACTCAAGATTGCAACAGCACAGACATTTTGATGCAATAATTCAGAGCAAGAGGTGTCAGTTATCAGACACTGTTAAATAAACAAAATATTGCAAGACTGCTAATGTTTTAAGCATGTTTTTATTTTAAGTTAAAAAAAACCCTTTGTGTTTGTGTCCTTTATAAAGTTTATATCTCTGCTACCTGGCATTACATTTTAGGACACACATGGTTCGGCCCAACAAGGTCTCATTTATGTCAGATTCAGCCCTCATAACAAATGAGTTTGACATCCCTGCTCTAGCCCTTTAACCAGTCCTTCCCATTCCAGGCTAAGAGATATTGAAGGAACTCATCCTTCCACAGGGGGATCTAGCTGGCCCACTAAGGCAGCTAGGAAAGATGATTACATCATAAAAAGTAAATTAACTCTCAGTGGGACACAGACACTTATTCAGACAGTGAAACTGAGGAAAGGAAAGAAGGGGAATTTCTTTCAGATGAGGAAGAGAAGGAAATAGAAATTCCAGAATAGTCAATAAGATTTCTTAAGTCTGAGAGCTATCATTACCTCTTAACCAAGACCATGGCAGCAGTAGAGGTGCAAGAGAATGCCCTAGGAGAACAGCCAGGTTCCTCCACACCAGAGGCCAAGGGCAGACCCAAAGGGAACAAAGAATTCTTCTGTAGATCTAGTGCAATTTTTTTGAGAAGCAGCTAAAGGCTGAATGGGCGAGACTTCTTTTACCAATCAGTTCTTGCAGTCTCACTTATGGATGCTCCGGTAGCATCTCTACAGTCACCTGGGCTTTTAGCTGAAGATGGCAAAGGCACAATTAGAGATAGTATGGAGAAGAAGGCTGACTTTGCCCTAAGAAAGGCACATGAAGCCATTAATACTCTCAAGATCAGCTGTTGTCTGGACCAGAAAACTTCTCCAACTTATCCTGGCCAGCAGTCATTGCTTGGTGGAGGGAACCAACAGAGTGCTCAAAGCCACCTCATTCACTGTAGATGCTACATTGGATTCCATAATTTTTTCCTCCAGGTCTATGGCATCTGCAGCAGCCAGAACCCTATGGCTCAGGGCCTGGCAAGCTGATCGCCATACCAAGGCTTGAAGTATCTTAACAAGTTCATCATACTGAGACACTTCTGTATGGAGACACTGAGGTCCATCACAGAGGCACTGCAGCCAGTGGAGTACCTCATCTTTCCTGGCCTCTCCATGGCGCCAAGGGTCATCATAAAGATCTTGATCAACCCCATTGTAAAGTTAAGGGAGTAAGGGATTCATAGTCATCCTTATCTTGATGACTTGCTGATCAGGTCAAGTTCCCCAATCAAGTTGCACCTAGACATATCAACAGTCACCCGATGCCTCCAAGACTATGGGTTCCTGCTCGATCTTCAAAAAAGTTCTCTGCAGCCAACACAAAGGTTAGAGCACTCGGGTTGTCATCCTGGACACAACATGCAATTGCCTCTTTTTAACTGAGACAAAGGCAAAAAAATGAGGGAGATGGCACAAGCTGCCATAAAGAGCAAGTTTCTCTGATGACACTTGCAAACCTGACGGGTCTACTGATTTCAAGCATTGGTGCTGTACAGTGGGGGCGGCTCAACACCAGACCTCTACAACAGCTCCTGAGACCTTTCTAGTCACAAATAATTAACAAGGAAGACTTGGCAATCAGGGTACTTTCCTGAGGGACAAGAACTTCCAATCTCTTACAAGGAAAGATAGCACTCTGGTGGTGAAGCAGATCTTCATGGATGCCAGTCTGTCTGGGTGGGAAGCAATATTAGAAGACTCACCAGTATGGGGTTAATGGTTTGTCAGCAAGACGAGCATTCCCATCAACTTCCTGGAACTGTGGGCGATTCATTTAGCCCTACTACACTTCAGCTCACGAGTATTTGGACAACACATCTTGATCAGAACAGACAACATATCTGCCAAGACCAATCTCAACAAACAGGGAGGGTCCAGATCTTTAATGCTTCACAAGGAAGCTATCAAAATCCTGATGTGGGCAGAGAACAATGTGGCATTGATTAAGGCAGGGCAGATAAAGGGGTCGATGAATACTCAGGCAGTTTGGCTCAGCTGGTAGACCATTCAGGAAGGGGAATGGTCCCTGAAGAAGGACCTGTTTCAACTGATCACTGTACACTTTGGTCTTTCTCAGGTGGACCTCTTTGCATCACCAACCAATTATCAAGTGGGCCACTTCTTCACCAGATTTTACCATCCTGCAGCTGAAGCAACTGACGCCTTGACATCCCAGTGACCCAAGTGGTCTTCTGTTCCCTTTCCCACCCACTGGTTCTTCCAAAACTGATTAGGAAGATCAAGGAACAGAAGGCAGAAATCATTGTAGTAGCACCATATTGGCCTTGGCAACCGTGGTTCTCCACCCTCTAGGAACTATATATCCATCCACCACTTACACTCCCAATAGCTCCAGACATGCTTCAGCAAAGCCTGGTTTGGCATCCCCATCCAGAGTTGCATCATTTAGCCACCTGGGGATTGAGTAGAACAACTTCTTAAGACTTGGCTATTCAGTGGAAGTAACACCTTGCTAGCTTGTATAAGACATTCCGTTAATAGAAGTTATAACACGTCTTGGAAGGCCTTTCTTAAGTGGTGCAGAAGGAAAAGTGTTGATCCATTGAAACCAAGGATTAAATCTATTCTTTCCTACAAGATGGTCATGCAGAAGCGCTCAAAGCTTCAACACTAAGATGTCAGGTATGACGATGTTACTATCTCAATTCCAGAAATTGAGCGTATCCAGATACCCACATATTCAATGTTTTCTTAAGAGTGCAGCCTTAAAAGACCAACTACAAGTGCATAGATTCCTGACATGGAGATTGCATATCATGCTGTTAGCTCTCACGAAGTATCCCTTCGAACCCATCAAAGGGATTCCTCTGAAATGGCTGAGGATGAAAACCCTGTTCCTCACAGCAGTCACATCAGCAAGGAGGGTGTCTGAACTTGTCAGTAACCCTGAGCTCTACATCTTCCACAAACACAAAGTGGTCATGAGGACAGACCCTAGTTTCAAACCAAAGGTGAATTAGACTTCATCGATCCCAGGAGATTTGACTTCCTTCTTTCTGCCCACACCCCATTCACCGTAAAGAAAGGTTATGGCATACATTGGATGTGCTATGCACACTAAAGGCATTCAGTGGTGGGACGGAACATATTAGGAAAACTGAATCATTATTGATTTCAGTCTCTCCCCCTAATAAAGGTCTAAAGATGGCAAGATCAGCCATCGGCAGCACTCTTAAGGCTTGCATTATCGAAGCCTACAAAGTACAAAAGTTACCCATACCAACCCATTCAGTTTGAAGTGCTGCAACCAACACAGCCTTTACTAGCCATGCTACAGTTGAAGAGGTCTGCAAGACAGCCACTTGGTCAACAATATCACCCTTCTTTAGACATTACAAGATGAACATATATGACTTGACAGATGCAGTATTTGGCAGAAGAGTGCTTCAACGTATTTTGGACACAGAACATAATGACCCACCCAGAGAATAGTGACACTGCTTTGGAAGGTCCCACCAAGATGTCCTCCGTCTCAGAGGGGGAATGGACTATTGGATACCTACTGTGAAGGGTCCTTCTCCTTTGAGGAAAGGAGGACCTCTTGTGCCTCCTGAAGTTATCATCATTCTTCACTCTTCTACTCTGCAAGGTCACTTTTCCATTCTTACTGTTACTAATTATTCTCCTGGTTATAGTTCAAGAGTGTTAATTATTTCTTAGTTTAGGAGATTGTTGACTGCTTTTCAGAGTTACCAGAACTAGAGAGTTGGGTGACTCCCACAAGGGGACAGGAAGTGGAAGACTTTGTTCTTGCATCCCTGATTGGAGGGTGGGAATCACCCACCAAGATGTCCTCCTTTCCTCAGTGGAGATGAACCCTTCACAGTAAGTATCCAATGATCTGTTTCATTTAAAGAACAAAGCAGAATCCCTCTTTACCCACAATTCCTAGAGTTCAGTGAGATAAAATGTGAAGGAAGGCCTTGTACAAGGTTGTTTTGTTTTAGTTTTTTAAAAAGCACAATAGCCTATAGGCTATTGGATAGTCTATGGGATTTGCGCCTGGGCTAGTTGGGCTCAGTTTCTAGCACCAGTCATTGTTCTTTCAGTTTCCATTAAACATGACCCCATATTTTAGGATTGTTGTGAAGATGAATGAGAGAAGCCTTGCAAAATGCTTGGCAGAAGAAACAATTTGTAGAAATCATCTGTATACTAGTAGGCAAGTTGGCTAAATCTGAGGATTCTTAAACCTGGAGACTAGATGCATGAAGAGCCAAAGACCAGCCTTTCAACAAACCTGAAAATTGCACCAGGTTTGCAGAATAAGCTGAAATCTTTTTTAAAAAAATTAAAAATACATTGGGTGGTTAAAAACACGCACCCAAAAACTATAAACAGAGCACCTGTAGCTTTAATAAACAGAGGCCCTGAGGGGCTGTTGTTAGGTGATCACAACAGTTTGGTCAGCATTCCAGGCTTGATATCTGCTTGGTTTCTGTCAGTAAAAGGCAGGGCAGAGGGCTGTTTGGCCTTTAGGAGAGAATTGATTGCCGCCAGCCTGGTAGCAACTAGGGGTGTGCAGTTCTTATTTTCTCTGTATTTTTCAGTTCAGGTCTATTGGACCTGAAAAATTTTGAGATTCCCAAAAAAAAACCCTGATCCCAATACTGTTAAAATATTTGGATCTGGGATTTTTTGGAAATCACAATTTTTTCCGGGTACAATAGACATGGAAGGGGGGAAAAGCAGCGGAAAAGCCACTAAAACCAGCTGAAAGGCAGCTCAGCTAGGGCTCTTTTGGGTGGTCCCTTTAACCCGGACTGTCCAAAAGAGCTTGAAGAAGCCGATTGTTTTGGGAGAGCTCTCCCCATAGCCTCTGCTCGGACTCTGCTGGGCGGCCTAGTTTAGACCAGACTGCAGCAGAACCCACCCAGGCGCTGATCCTATGGGGAGAACTCTTCCACAGGCTTTCCTGGGCAGCCTGGTTTAGACCGGACTGCCCAACAGAGCCCACCCAATCCTGTCCCCGCAGGCTCGGCTGGGGCTCTGTTAGGCAGCCCGGTTTAGACCTGACTGCTCAATAGAGCCAACCGAGGAGCCATCCTGTGGGGAAGAGTTCTTCCCACAGATTTGCCTAGGGCTCTGCTAGGCAGCCGGGTTTTGCCAGTAATCCCCAAATATATCCGGGATTCTTTTGGGGATTTTTTTGTTTTTTGGTTCTCCCAAAAATCTCAGATACATTTGGAAAGCTGAAATATACCAGAAAAATACCAATAGTGTTTTCCAGGTATTTTTTTGTCTTGGGTAAACCCAAATGCACATCCCTAGTAGCAACCGTAGACAGCTTGATATCGCACAAATTGCTTGACTCATCCAGGCCTGGCTGCTTGCTATTGATGTGCAACAACCACCTCAATAAAGGCAGTGTGATGTCGTGATTGGAGTTACAGACTGGGACCTTGAATCCCCATTCTGCTGTGGGAAACTAACTGGGTGACAGTGGGGCCAGTTACATATTCTCAGCTTAACCTGCCTTACAGGATTCTTGTGAGGATGAAATGAATGGGTGGAGAATATTTTAAACTGTATTGGGTGTCCATTGTAGAGAAAGGTAGGATATAAATGAAGTAAATATATAAGAAGCAGATAAAAGGTAGATTGTGTGTGGGTCTGAAAGAGAGGAGGCAGGGAAATGTGAGGATATGGGAGTTGCTAGGAGTAAGGAATGAGGAAAAAGTATGGAGAGGCAATGCAGGAGAAAGTGAGGTGCCCTCCTCAAGTCCTTGCAGGTTCTAACACCACAAATGAGTCTCACTCAGCAGGCACCACACAACGGGGACATAGTTTTCATGGGGAAAAGCTAGCAGGAGGGCTGGTAAATGTAGGTTGGCTGGTAGGTGGGAAGGAGGCAGGAAGATGGGAGTGGATATGGGGGGGGTTCAAGGAAGGGAATGATGAAATAGTGTGGGAGAGTTCTCCCCTCTTGTATATATTAATCAGCTCGGTACAGCCAGCTTCACCACCATAGTATTTCATGTGTTGCATGATCTTTTAAAATGAGCAGGCTTTGAGATTCTAGACCAGGAGTGTCAAACATATGTCCCATGGGCCAGAACCAGCCCATCCAGAGCTCTTATCCAGCCCACAAGCAACTAGTCATTACCTTTATTGCCAGATGACTGAGGCTGTGCATTATGTCCCTATATACTGTCCCAGTCTTAATGAGTAATGGGCGGTGGAAGTGGGAAGGTGGGCATCTGGGAGATACTTTAAGGAAATACAGCAAAAGTACTAATGTTTTAGGCATGTTTTTATTTTGAGTAAATAATAATATCGTTAATTGGGTTTGCCTGTGTCATTTATAAAGTTTATATCTCCAGTACCTGTCATTACATGTTTTGGCATACTTGGCCTGGCCCGATAAAATGACATTTGTGTCAGATCTGGCCCTTGTAACAGATGAGTTTGATGCCTCTGTCCTAGACTACCACAGAATCCATTAAAATCAATGGGTAAACGTTGCAAAACACCAAATTGATTGCTGTTATGGATTGTTCTCTTGCAGCTAGTGAGAGAGTGTAAAGAGGTTCTGAAAGGTGGCCTGCTAATGAAGCAATATTATCAGTTTATGTTACGCGAGGTGTTAGATGATTTACAGAAGAACAACCTCAACATTGATTCTTTCGAGGAAGACCTGCATAAGATGTTAATGGTATGTAGCAATATCTCATAGTGGTTCAATTCCTCTGATTTTGATATTATAATCATTTTTATTTTACCCTTGTTAGTTAACAATTTCTCTAGCCTGTAACATTTTTCTCTTTTCTTTTTTAGCTGTATGGCATTATAATGGGGGATTCCCATGCTGCGATCACTAAGTAGAATCTGCAGAATCTCAGTTCAATTTTGATTTCTAGCCTTCATTGACAGATGGCCAGTTTCTGCCACTATGCTAAAAGATGGTTTACTCAAAACATGGATTATTTCAGTCAACAAAACTGTCATTGGTTCACAGAATGTGTATATTTTTGGTTACAGTATCTTGGAAAAGTCACTATGACTGCCCTAGGAATAATTACCAAGATGTAAGTCCCATTGAACTCAGTGGTACTTGCTTCTGAATGATGCTTAATATCTAGCTGTAAAATACCACTCTAAGCAAGGGGATCTCACCATGGGTACATTTGGATTGGATCCCCTCTATAAAATTAACAGATAGGTGAAAGATAATACCAAATATAGGGTACAAATTTTCTCATAACTGTAGCTTTTGATTAACAAAAGTTATGATCCCCTGATACAGCTAAGAGTCAGATTAATTCACAGTCTGTCACCTGGAAGGACTTTTCTGAGCAGAGAGGAGGGAGTATTCCTGCAATTACTTTTCTTTTGGGGCCTCAGCGTTTGTTTGCTTTCTGTGGCTGTGTCCTGAATGGAATTGTGTACATACGGGGCTGATAACCTTGTCTGAGGAAGGGCAGGGGCTGTGCCTAACCAATTTCTTCTGTTTTTAAGCTGCGCCTAAAAGCACTATCATATTATAGGCAGACTTTCTGGCATTTTGTGGGTCTAATGTAAAACAATTGTATAAATTGCTTGCCTTCCTATTTCAAGGTTTACTTTGATTATATGCGAAGCTGGATCCAAATGCTACAGCAGTTACCTCAAGCATCTCATAGTTTGAAAAATCTCTTGGAAGAAGAATGGAATTTCACCAAAGAAATAACTCCTTACATAAGAGGAGGTGAAGCTCAAGCTGGAAAACTATTCTGGTATTACATTCTATTGCTGCTATTCTTATGCAGATTTATCTTAGAATATAATTGTCTTAAATTGGTAATGTGATATTACTTTTTAAAAATTTCTTGGTAGGAGGTATTTGTGCTGTTATTCATTTTAAAGGTAGAATTATGAGTTTTAAAAATCCTGCAGTGGTGGATTCTAGTTACTTGTTTTGCCAGAACAAAAAAGCTGGTGGTAGAGTGTGAATTTTTCAAATTTAACTTCATAGCCAGTTTTTCTCACTGCTACTCAAGGCAGATCACACCATATAAATAGCGTATTCAGACAACATAAAGTATCCCATAAATAATGCAATAGGAGTAGGATTATAGTGTTAGAGAAACAATGCAAAACGAAAATATCAGAGATGATATATGGATGTAGCCCTTGAAGTACTAGTCCCTCCTCCATACCTGGTGATTTGCATCTAAACTAGAGGCTGCTGCTGGACTAGCATGGACTTTGCAATCTCTCTGGCAGGAGTATTTCTTCCATTCTGTCAAGACAGCTTTTATGTGTGTGAAGATACCTGGCTTTGTCTCACTTCCTGCACTTTAATACACAGAAATGTAACACAGAGTAGGCAAGGCTGCCAAGTCATTGTGCCCCCAAATTTACCATGATGAAGAGTAAATGGCTTGGATGACCACAGCTTCTGAACTGCAGCTGTGTACATGTCCACTATATAATACAATTGAATTAATAACGAAGAAAGAAATGCATGGTAAAAGCATCCTAGATGACCTGGGCCATGGCCACTCTGCTGCAGCTCTGTAGTAGTATTTGATTTGATTAATAACATCAGATAATCTATGAAATGTTTGACTCCTGGAATATAATCTGCAAGGAGGAGACATGTTGTAGCTCATGATTTTGCATTTTAACAGCACTGCATACATGCTGTACTTGTCCAGTGCATATTATTTAGGAATTAGCCGTATCTTGAGATTGGTGCTTTTTCTAATGCTTCTAACGTTGTCGAAAGCAGTAACACATTTGCCTAAATCAATTTGTGTATGTCTTGCTATTTAAAATACTCTAATATTAATGATTCTTTAAATTATTGAGAAGGTTTTATGCTTGACACAAAGGAGTAAAGGTTTGTTTCAATTATCTTTCAGTGACATTTATGAGGCATGATAATTATATATTATTTCTCTGATATTTTGTGTTTCTGTGAAAGATGGGGCATTTTACCTGTCCTGGGTTCATTTTTAGCTTGTTTTCTGTATATATTTTCCAACATTTTTAAAAAATAAACTATTCAAATAACTGAATTCTGTTCCATTTTTATAGGAGGTCTGTTATAGAGATCAGCCGGGCACTGAAAGAGCTGTTTCATGAAGCTAGAGAAAGAGCCTCCAAGGCTCTTGGCTTTGCCAAGAGGTTAAGGAAGGTAAAAATTGAAAGGGGTTCTAAATATCATCAGAATTCAGCTGTCTTGACAATCTTAACAGTGCAACCAAATAAAAAAGTCTTTCTCTCATCTTGTTATTGTTAGGACCTTGAAATAGCAGCAGAGTTCACATTGTCTGCTTCAGTGCGTGAGATCCTCGGTGCCCTGAAAACACAACAGTATATGAAGGTAAAATCAGTCTAAAGGCTTAATCTTAAATGATTAAAGGCAGAAGTAGACCAGATATATGACAAGTGGTTTGTCCTGCAGTAGGTTTTGTTACAGCGCCTGTTTCATATGGATTGTACCACTTCAAACTGCAGATTGGGGCTTATATGGGTGAATGCTGCTCCATATTAAGAGTTCACTATACATGGAAAACTCCTGTGCCAGTTTACTACATTAATAGTATTCTTCTTTGTGGAGGCTAAGGGTGAAAGTAAACCTGTGTGGGCTGGTAGAGAGTACCAGTAAGAAAGTGGCCAAAGTGGCAACTCCCATCTTGTGCTTTTAGCCCCGCAAAAGAGATGGTACCACTACGAAATTTAAGTTATTTTCACCCTTGAAGGAAGCATATTCAGCCATGTCATCCCGTATTTGGAGCCTGAAGTGGTATACCCCAAACACAGATTAACACCTCCTTGAGAACTATTACTAGCTTTTGCATTGCAGGGCGTGCACAGCAGCCCCCTATATGGAATTTGTGATGAAATGTGGCTGTGTGCTGTTTAAAGAAAAGATGTCAAACTTTAGGTTAACCTAAAGAGTTCTTTGTCTCCTCTCAAAAATCTGAACTGTGGGAAAACAAAATGAGCCAAAGCCACTAAGCAATCATGCGAATAGTGATTTGCTTTAGGTGTGCCCGTTGTCCTTGCTCAGTAGCTTTCAAGGAATGGGACTTAGCCTGTGCAATGTTGGGAAAGAAATTAGTGTACGTGCAGTTTGGACGGCAAAGGATGAGATGGTTAGACAGTGTTATCAAAGCAACGGACATGAAATTAAGCAAACTCCAGAGCAGGATGGAAGACAGGAGGGCCTGGCGTGATGTGGTCCATAGGGTCGCAAAGAGTCGGACGCGACTGTGCGACTGAACAACAACAACAACAAAAGCAGTTTGGTAGCATGATCTGTGACTTCACTGCTGAAGTTTAAAAGGCATTCCCTCTGTGCATGTGAGAGGCAGCATGCATGTGCATGAATAAGAGTTGGTACTCATGTATTGTGCAGGCTTGAACAGAAGAGAATGTATCTCCAAGGCCAGTACAGCCTCAGTGTCAAAGCAGCATGAGCTTTCTGACTGCCTGGTTCTTGGGAGACTGTCTTCTGTCTCAGTGCACGATCTCAGTGTTGCTGGAGGGGATGCCTTCCCCCAATTGGGAAAAAAATATTCCATTTGTACTGTTCTTTTTTCCATGGGTGGCATTTTGTGCTCCAAGAAAAATGTCATTTTCCTCTGAAGAATTTCAAGGGTGAATATTAGCACATTTCTAGGTGCTGATAACTTGAGCCATATATTTTTCTGCAGGTACAAATCCCTGGGCTTGAAAATGTACAGATCTTTGTGCAAGAAAGTCTTTCAGGAGAGAAGTCTATTATCTTGCAACTGCTTAATGCCGCTGCAGGAAAAGACTGTTCAAAAGACTCGGATGAAGTTGCAGGCGAACCCTTCTTGCTGATGACTAAATACAGTGATAAAGATCATGAAGGAGACGACAGCTGGAGCACATGGGAAGGACAGCTTGTCAAACTAATGCCTCAGGTGGAAACGATTGATACACTGAAAAATATGCAGGCAAGTATTTTCCGTATTAGTAACCAGTCATTGTACTTCTGATTTACGGACTACAAAAGTTAAAGAGATGTTCTGTTTTTTACAGCTAGATCATATTACAAGTATTATTAATATAATAGGGTACTTGGGAATTTGGCTTTCTATTCACTTGTGAATATTCTTACACACTCTTAAATGGGTTTAGTTTGCATAAAATTCTGATGCTGCAAAATGATGGGTAGTTGTTTTCTTACATTGTATGGTTTTGAGAATAATGAAAATCAAGATACCTGTGATAGTATTATAGAGCCTTTGTTACCATTCTGATTGATTTATCTCTTGCCCTTAGACAAAAATTTCAGATCTTCACGCTTTCTTTGCTAAATATATGTGAGAGAGGGGAGGAGGGGGGAAAATTGGAATTTATTTCATTTATTTTTCTCCCCAGTGGGTGGCTTACAACATTATATTCCTCCACACTCTTAAATGGGTTTTTAGTTTGCATAACATTCTCCACTTCTTTATTTTATCCTTACAGCAACCTTGGGGGGGATAGTTTAGCTGAGAGTGTGTGACTGACCCAGGGTCACCTTGTGAGCACCCGTAGCAGAGATGTGCCTTTTACTAGTGTGTTTTTATCATGCAGGTGTGCATGGTCCTTTCCAGAACTAATTTCCTCAGGTAAAAATCGAAATTGTAGGTTCCTGAAGACTTTTCTTCCAAAAGCCTTTTCCTTCACATTTGAAATTCTAATAATTTAGTGACTGACTTAAGTGGGTAACAGTCAAAGTTTCATTTTTGGCAAGAAGAGCTCTATTTGTGATTTTTTTTGCCCTTTCCCCCTTGATTATTTGTTGAGCATGTGCCTGCACTGACTTCACTCCCCAACAGTCTGTGCCAGAACTGTGCGTTCAGCTAGAATACTTGGAGGCAGTAGATTTCTACCTGTAGCAGGTAGCAGCCCCTACTGCATACAGTGACAGTCAAACTGTGTACGGGAATCCATTTCTGCATGCGGAATGTCACATAATGGACCAGGATGACTTGCAGGGAGATCATTAGAAAATGTAGAATTAGAATTGTAGGGATTGTTCAAAAAGTTAGCCATTTTGTTGGAAGAATAGCAATAACATCTAGATTTTTATTTTAGACCGCAGTGAGTACTTTACATTTCAGAACAGTCACAATCGAATTCACTTCAGGATAATAACTTTGAGAGTTTGTTTTTGGCAACACCTTCAGGTAATGTAACTTTGTATATCCTAGATTGACAACCTCCTCCTTGTAGTCATGCAGCCTGTTCATCTTGTGAACCAGAGAAAAAATTTCCAACAGTCCCTTGAAGGATTGGTCTCTTTACATCAGGAGCAAACATCCAGCCAGCCGGTTGTTGCCAAAGCATTGCAGCAGTTGAAGGTACTCCCCTTCATTGTCTTATGGAACGTTCTAAGTAGCTTATTACTACAAAATATGAAATGAGTTACTGAATTCTATTTTTCACAAATATGATCAGCAAAAGATCATTTGTAGTAAGCGTTGTATGTATAAATGGAGGTTTTACAGTTACTGTAGCAGTAATATTTATACACAATGGAATTACAATTTTAAGTACTGATGGAGTGATTATTTTGTGTGTGTCTAGCGTAAAGCCATAGCAGTAAAATTACTTCCAAGAATACTACTGGAATTTTTATATCCATAAAACTTATTGTAAATGATAAATACAATAAACATATAAATGTCCTCCTTGGGAAAAAGTGGACTTTCTGTTTCTGTTATAGTGGGGTCCAAGTTATTTGATAGTGATTGTTGGGAGGTAAGATATGAAAGGTTAAGGACTACTGTATAATTGTTAACAAAAGTGTCTGGCTCCTGAAAATTCATTGATGACTCCTAGAAATATGAAGTACTCTCCCAACCTTACCTCTGAGATTTTTGCCAAACAAAATATCAGAGATAAGGCTAGCAGAGTACTTCAGATTTCTAAAAGTAATCAATGAATTTTGAGGAGCCAGGCAAAGTGCTTTAGATTTGGAGGAGACACGAACAGATTTTTAGGAGCATCCCTGTATGGGTCTGAAAACGTATCCTACAGAATACTGTATGTATCTGTATACACCGGGATTATTCTCTAATGGTGTAGATAGTCTTGCAATAAAACCTTCATATTACATGTTTTCAGTTAGTAAAACTTGTCTTTAAAAACATTTTACTCATTCCGAAAGAATATTTCATATGAGATTCTTAGAGTTCTAAAACACTAGTGATAACACAGTACACAGAGTTCAGAAAGCAAGCAAGCACTGTATAAATAATGCAGATCATGGAGTTCACAAAGGTATGCTAAAGAAAATATATTATAGAAATAACAAATATAACAAGGACCACATATATCAGTAAAGGAAGATTACATCATAACATGTGCAAGTCCATAAATAGTATCCATAAATTCATAAGTAGTTACATGTCCATAAGCTGTAAGTAGACGAAGACTCCAGATTTTAATCTTTGTTTCGAAGGCTCTTCTTCAAAGAATTCAAACTACGTTATACTTCTTAGAGTTCTCCCATTTTTTTTTTAGTATTTCCATTTGAATTCTTTTTAAAGGGCCCCCATGTCACAATTCATTTTGGTCTTTAAAACACAGCAGGGCTCATTTTGTTGTTTATTAAAATACTAACAAGTGGCCATTTAGGATTATTTTAAAATCTGATGCAGTAATATTTCAGCTGCTTTTTTTCTCTTTTCCAGAGTGATGCTTTGCAGCTGTGCAATAAGATAAGCGGTGCAATTGACAGAGTTGATCGCATGTTCACATCTGAATTTGATGCTGAAGTGGATGAGTCAGAATCTGCCACATTGCAGCAATATTATCGGGAAGCCATGATTCAGTGTTACAATTTTGGTTTTGAGGTAAGTCCAACCAAAATCTCTTGCCACATTTCCATAGGATTGAAAATGTTTAACTTTCTTCAGAGAAAATAAATGATATTTCAGCAATTGTTCATAATGTTTAGCAACCTGGGAGCTAAGTCATTGCACTTCTGAAGCAGTTGCTTGGAAATCAGAAAAATGCACCAAATCAACTCAAACCGTTCTCATGTCATTTTCTTGTTCTTTGTGCTGGGGCTTCTGACATTTACCTTCTGATTGGTAACTGTGCAAAAGGAACGCTTGGCAGTGCCTGCTCTTATATTAAATCTACAAAGAAGATGCAGGTTGCTTCATTTTTCTATAGATAACAGCAGGCTTTAAATGCAAATTTTTACAAATACTTACCACAGCATTACTCTGTTGTTAACTTTTCTGTGTAGCTGCATTGTGCTTTGCATTGCCCTTTAGCTGGGCTGTAGATCAGGGCACAGAACTCAGAAGGGGTGGGTAAAAATGGAACAGAACGACGTTAACTTTAATTTTGGCATATTACAGTACCATAAAGAAGTCATTCGTCTGATGTCTGGAGAATTCAGACAGAAAATTGGAGACCAGTATATCAGTTTTGCAAGAAAGTGGATGAATTATGTGCTTACTAAATGTGAGAGTGGTCGAGGCACCAGACCAAGGTAATGATCACGTAGACACTCCTTGGTGTTTTCTTTCCCATTCTTTTCATTGAGATCTTGCATGCAACAAAGACATTGCATGTGACAAACACATTGTTGCTGCCTTGAATTGCTTTGAAGAATTTTATTCAAAATGTCACAACATGGATGTGGGAATAAAATACTGGAGATAATCTGAGGCCCAGACTTTTCAAGGGTTTTACTTGTTTTAAGTGAATTTATTATGCGCTTGAGAAATCAGTGAGGGAAACTGAATCCTGAATTATTTACTTTAGCACAGTAAAACTTAATTTAGAAGTCATGTTTAGTGATATTTTAGGATTGAATATTAAGAAATTCTGGACATTGGGGGGTAATCCTAATATTTCGTGGAAGTATACATTCATTTGGAGTAAGTTAATTGTCATGACCAGAAAACAAGCCTAGAATTAATGCTCACCACACTGTTTAACTGTTCTCAGTTGGAGGCAGAAAAAAAATCTTATTGACATAAGCTACATTAAATAATCAGAGCTGTTTACAGTATAATATTCACTACACTTATTAAATCAAGAGTTTCACTCACTCTGTAAGACTCTCTAGTGATTCAGCAGGTATATACAGTCCGGACTATTCAGTCTTGGTTAATCAGCGCTGGCCCAAGGATTTTGGGCACCCAAGCCCACAGCCCCTGCCATGGGGAGGCAGGAAAACAGCTCCTGACCTCCACCCATCCCATGTCACAGAGAGTGGGGAAGTGAAAAATGGCATCCAACTGCCTCACTTCTGCGGTGCTGGGAGGTGGCGAGGGGGAAAAGAAAACAGCATGGTGAGGAGGTATACAGGTGCCATTTCCCCATCTCCCTGCAGTACTTTGGTGGGGGGGAGGCAAGGAGTGCAGATGCTGTTTTCCACTTTTCCTGTCTCCCAACGGTGTGTGTCTGGGGAGGGGTGAGGAGTATGATATCTGAATGTGATTAAACTGTTCTCCCCTATGAATATGCATGCACATGTAGCTTCAAATATGGCCAACATAAATGCTGCTGCCATTTCCCGATTCTTCTACACCAGTGTCAGCTATGCTGCCATGGCAGCGGGAGGGGTCAGATGACCTGTGTACAAAGTACTGCCGCATTCCTTCTGTGTTTCTTCTCTGCTGTAACGCTTGCTTATCTACAGCCATGCAGGTGGTGTAGTGTCTAGGAGTGAGGGAATCATGGGAGCGCTGTCGGTTCCCAGCTTTGGCTCAAACGGCCTGGGGCTCCTTCTCCCGCGTGTGGGAATGTGGCTAATTGGCCCAAGGAAGGGGTGTGTGCATACGAATACCCTATATCCCATTATGCTTGTAGGGGCGACGCCATTCATAACAGTGCCTTTGTTAATGCATCTATAGCTCTTCAATAAAGTATAACCTTTCTGATAAGCGTGTACTCTGTTGTTGGCTGTGGAACCTGACAACCAGAGGCAATCAATTCATACCAGCTGCATTAAAAGTCTTCAGGGCCAAAGTAATCCCCAGCTCATGTATGGTATTCCAGTATGGATAAGTGCACTTAATGGCACAATAGAATGTGTTCGATCTAAGTTTCTTCGAAAGATCGTGGGAATGCTGCTTTGTGTACCTTATGCAGCCTTGTGTTTAGAAACTGGGTTAAATTCTGTGGAATCTGGTGTATGGCTAATAACAGTAAAATATTGGCTGCGTTTACATTACAATGTAGACCAAGGGAGCCTTATACAACAAATGCTTACAGAGTCAATCATGTCTAACTGGCTACCACACATTGAGAACAAAATAATTGCCATGGGCATCCCATTGGACTCACTGCTTATGCTCCCTTTTATGGGTGCTTTTCAGATGATTAAACGCAAAGTCCTTGACATTGAAACACAAAGGCTATACAGCTTAGCCAACAAATCTTGCTCCCCTCTGAACTTTGAGATTCCCCTCTTGATAGGCCGAGTGGCCCCATACCTATCTGTTATACAAGCACCACAACAGCACAGAACCTTTTCACTAGCAAGATTCAATGCACTACTATCAGCAATCTTGCATGGGAGATATAATAATATAGCATGTAACTCTGGATGCATTGAGGCAGTTTCACATATCTGTTTGCACTGCCAATTTTATGTAGATATACGTTTTAGATAATTAAACCCTATTTTAGCCAACATGACAGACCTTCCTGACGCTTTAAAAGTGCACCGTCTTCTGAATGACTCCGCTACTGAAATATCAGTGAAGGTAGCCATGTTTTTACAATCAGCTATAAAGCTTCAGGGGACAGAACCTTCAGTTGGCTGTGTTTTATAGTTGTATAATGTTTAGAGGAGATTTTTATGTAGCATGGTAACAGGGATGGGTTCTCTCTTGCTAAATCTTCTTATATAAGCATTTTGGCTAATGAATAACATCCTTCTGATCAACAGGTGGGCAACACAAGGTTTTGATTTTCTTCAAGCCTTCAGGGGACAGAACCTTCAGTTGGCTTTGTTTTATAGTTGTATAATGTTTAGAGGAGATTTTTATGTAGCATGGTAACAGGGATGGGTTCTCTCTTGCTAAATCTTCTTATGTAAGCATTTTGACTAATGAATAACATCCTTCTGATCAACAGGTGGGCAACACAAGGTTTTGATTTTCTTCAAGCCATCGAGCCAGCTTTTATTTCAGCTCTGCCTGAAGATGACTTCTTGGTAAGTCTTCAACCATTCTTACATTTAAGTTAACCAGTGTTGACCTCTGTTGGCTGTGCTTGAGGCCAGTGCTCGCTCTAAGCTGTGGAGTCTTGTGAGAAAAAATTCTACTTTGCGAGCTACTGGCATTAAAGTTGTGAGTGAAGGATTCGGCTGCTGCATAAATTGGTTTGCTCTGGAGTCATCCTTCCTGAGCTAAGAGAAAAATGTGTAAGCTGGAGGCTAAAAAACTGTGAGCTAGCTCACACTAACTCAGCTTAGAGGGAACACTGCTTGAGATCATCCTACTGGGAAAGAAAGGCTCTTTTGAGGGTTCATAAGCATTCACTATTCTTGACCGGTACATGCTGATTAAAGACACAGCACTGTGGCATTTATTGTTTCAGCACTTTTTACTTTCTGTTTTCCAGAGTTTACAGGCTTTGATGAATGAATGTATTGGCCATGTAATCGGAAAGCCTCACAGTCCTGTTACAGGTTTGTACCTTGGTAAGGCAACAGCTATGGTTTCTTCCTCTGGAACTTTACAGCTGTAGTTTATAGTAATGTAAGTGTTTTAGGTAAAAAGTGAATTTGTTATTATGAAAGCTACCATAGAAGATGTCCCTGTACTGACCTGGGCGGCTCAGTCTCATCAGACCTTGGAAGCTAAGCAGGGTTGGCCTTGATTGGTACTTGGATGAGAGACCCCCAAGGAACACCAGGGGTGTTCATCTCTTGCCTTGAAAACACTACAGAGTTGCCATAAGTCAACTGCAACTTGATGTCCCTTTCCACCATCATCCCTATTTAGGTCAGTTCTCTAATACACTGAGTGGATGTTGGTCTTTGTATAGTATCTTTCCCACCCATACTTTCAAAGATACTTTAAGTTAGGCCTGCACACTGTATGACCCATCAGCCATGTATACCGATTTTACAAGTGCTTATAAAATTCCACCTCCATCACTTTGCAGCTGCAGCTGGCCGGTAGATGGTATTCGGTCTGGTGAGTGTGTACATCTATGTGAACTGGAGAGGTTTCCAAACAAATACATAGAATGTATGAACTGTGAACTGTGGCTGCTGCAGAAAGTCTATAAGCAGATAAATTTCTTTTATTATAAAATGACAGTGCAGCTACAGTGAAGAGGTTTGTTTGTTTATTTATTTATTTATTATTTGTATTTATACCCCGCCTTGCCTGACAAGCAGGCTCAAGGCGGCTAACAGGATTAAATAGCATGACAAAACATTAAAACAATTAATAAATACCATATCCGTTAAAACAAGTAAACAACAACAATTACAGAACCAATTATGGCGGCAATCCAATCAAATCCTGAGATAGGGGTAGTAACCAACAGAGACTCTGACCAGAAGATGGTCTAAGTTCGGCCAGAAGATGTTCCAGGGCACACCCCTCAGTGGCTCCAGTCACATTAACAGTTGTGTATTCTCATTATAAATTGCTGCACTTGAATGGTCCTTTTGTCTTTTTTTATTTATTTATAGAATTTGTACCCCACCCTCCCCGCAAAGCAGGCTCAGGGTGGAAGAAACATTGGCTAAAGGGAATTAAATCTGCACTATAGTTATTTGGTCATCAAAGGTAGACTGGAAGAGTTATTTCAACTAATGCAGGTCTAGGTTCATTGTGAAAGTATACCTCCATAGTCAAGCTAAATATTTATTTTTGTCTATATTTCTAAAGTTGGATTTGTCTTAATTCGTCTTGTACATTTAAAACTTTAGGCAGCCTTTTAGAGAGCCAGTTTGGTGTAGTGGTTAAGTGTGCGGACTCTAATCTGGGAGAATCGGGTTTGATTCCCCACTCCTCCACTTGCACCTGCTGATGTGACCTTGGGTCAGTCACAAGCTCTGGCACAGCTGTCCTTGAAAAAGAGCAGTTTCTGTCAGAGTTCTCTCAGCCCCACCCACCTCACAGGGTGTCTGTTGTGGGGAGGGGGAGGGTAAGGAGTTTGTAAGCCGCTCTGAGACTCCCTTGGGTAGTGAAGGGCGGGGTATAAATCCAATCTCCTCCTCCTCCTCTCCTCTTTTTTTAACCAACCTTTTTTGTTCTCATTTTCTTGTATTATTTTATACCAAATAGAAGGAATCTTAAAAAGTAAGAATACTTTATTAGTGTTTATAATTTCATTTAGTATGTGAGTTGTCTAGAATGTTTCCCGGCATCTCCCAACTGTTAACTGGTAGATGACCTGACCCATTTCTTAAACCTCACTTACATTGGGCTGGCAGATAACACAGCATAAATCTTTCCAGTTACTATTTGCTAAAGATGGATTTCAGCCCAGTTGCTGCCATTTTAAACAAGTTGCATGAACTCGGCCTCAGTAACTGTGCTCCTGCATCAATGCAGCATGCATGTGTTGGGTGTTTTCTTAAGCCATTTGAATTGTCTCCCGTTTGTAGCTATTCATCGGAATAGTCCTCGTCCTGTGAAAGTACCACGATGCCATAGTGATCCCCCAAATCCTCATCTCATCATCCCAACGCCTGATGGGTTCAGGTATTAAGAGCAGATCTAATCCTTGTTATTTGTAACTGAGGGAGAGAAAGAGAGAAACGCTGAAGCAGTTCAGCAGCTTTACCATCTCGAACCTTTCAGTCTGTCTCTGGAAAAGAGGATATTTGCATTTTCCCAGCATTGATGCCTACAGTGTTTTGGCTATTGTTCCCCTGCAGTAACCATTGCTACGTGTTTTGTGGAATGTGATTGCTCCCATGGGATAGTGCCTGTGAAATCAATCGTGATGAGTGGCACAGCCCCACCCTTCTCCCCTCCCCTTACATGCCTGAGCCATGTTTAATATTCCTTATGTTTGTTTCTCTTCTATTTCCCCGATGTGCCCTTTTGTAAATATCCTGCTGCAGTGCTGTAGCTAGCTTTTCTCCTTTTTAATTAAAAGAAAGCTTCAAAAGGCAGTAAGGCTATGATCGCAATACTATCCAGCTGTTTCAGGAACTATCACTTGATTTCGTTTTTCTGTTCATAGCTTTGCCTCCCTCATCCTCATGAACAAAAGGTGACAAAGAGCAACATAGCTATCCCCCGTAATATGCACGCCCTTCCAGATTTTCTGCATAAGGACAGAATAGCATGCTAGTGGTACACTAGTATAATTGATTCAGTAGTAGGTGTTTTCTGCACGGAAACAGGCTAGTGTGGATTTCCTGTTACCATTGTGGCTGCTGATACAGCACAGCGGCAGTGGGTTTTCAAACATAGCAGGTTTCCCTGCCCCATTCTCCCAGCAACAGCTATCACCTGGAACACTGAGGCTTTCCCACTTTTATTTGAAATAAGCAGTTTTATATTGTTTTATCAATCAGTATACTGTTATAAGCCGGAAACTTTTCGGGCATATCTTACCCCCCCACACACACACACAATTTCCTCTTTTCATTTCCAGAAAAGCACCTACAGCTTCTCCCTTTTCCCTGCTTCCTTCACTACTTCCCACCCACCAGCCAGCCTATTTTTATCTGCTCCCCCTGCCTTTAGCTTTCCCTCTTCCTTCCCTGCCCTGGCAGCCACTCCCCTGGAAAACTCTGGCCAAGCTGCATGGTACCGCCGGTCACCAGGACAGAGTGGGCCCAGTTGTATCATGGCTGGCTGAGCTAGGCCCAGTTGTGCAGTGCTAACCAGGCTGGGCCCAGGTGCATAGAAGGGAACCTACAAGGAGTTGTGTGGAGCACTTCACTTCCCCCTGTATCCCCTTCCCCCACACTCTTCCGTCTTTCCCTCTTCTTGGCAGCCCCCATAGCCTCACATTTACCTTTTCCTTCTCTCCTTCCCAACCACCCACTAAACTTTTAATTTGCTCCTCCATCTTCAGCTGTATTTATGAACTTCATTTATAGCCCACCTTTCTTCCCAGGGTCATTCTCCTCTCCTCCATTTTATCACATAACAACCCTGTGAGGTTAGTTTAGATTGAGAATGTGTGCCTGGCGCGAGATCAACCAGCAAGCTTCCATGGAAACCTGGGGATTTGAACCTGGGTCCCCTAGATCCTAGTCTGAAATTCTAACCACACCACCACACTAGCTTCTCTGGGGTGGCTGCTGTTGAAAAATGCAAGCGGTTGGTCCTGATGTGTCATGTCTGTCCATGGTTCCAGATGCTGGATTTAAGTATCCACAATTTGGGCCATGATGAGAAGCAAGAAATTGCAAGTAGATAAATAGGTACCACTTCAGTGGGAAGGTAACAGCGTTCCGTGCGCCTTGGTGTTTAGTCATGTAAAAAAGAAGGCTTACAAGCATCATAATTTACAAATTAAATGCACCAATAAATTTAAGCCAGTAGTAATAGGAGTAGGTAGGAGCTGCGGTGGCTCAAGTGGTTAAGACGCTGAACTGCAGGCTGTGGAAGGTCAGTAGTTCAGCAGTTCAAGACCGGGTGCCGCATGATGGGGTGAGCTCCCATCTCTAGTTCCAGCTCCTGCCAACCTAGCAGTTCGAAAGCAAGAAATTGCAAGTAGATAAATAGGTACCACTTCAGTGGGAAGGTAACAGCGTTCCATGCGCCTTGGTGTTTAGTCATGCCGGCCACATGACCACGGAAACGTCTTCGGACAGCGCTGGCTCTTCGACTTTGAAACGGAGATGAGCACCGCAACCCTAGAGTCGGATTCGACTGGCTTTTGAGCAAGGGAACCTTTACCTTTACTAAATGTAACAGGTTCTGCATTTCCCCTTATATCTCAATAATGGAAGAGGCTGGAGGCTTTCATTTTAAAATGAGATCTGGAAATTCACAGAATCTTTCCTTCTTGTTATTATAGCAGAATATTTATATAACAATATGATATTGTCAATTAGGGGGAAAGTCCCCTGGTGGTGAGGGAAGGAAGTGGCCACAGTGAAGGCAGGGCCAGGGAAAATAGCTGTCCTTGGCAGGAAAGTCTGAACTTTTTCACCCACACGGCAGCCATTTTGGCTTCAACGGCTGATCTTTCTCAAAACTTTGCAGCAAAGCAGGTTTGAGAAAGATGTCAGAACAGCTGGAGAACCCTGGGAAATACACAACTTGCACCATGATGCTGCGAGGGAAACAGTAATAAAAATGCCTCTTCCCTCCAACATTGAACTGAATCATCCTTGTGAAAACGGCCTAGTACAGGGCTGTTGATGAAATCCAGCCTTATTGATTGTTTGAAGGATCCTCAGAGAAATGAAATGCAGTAAATAGAGGTTCTGTTGTGCTGCTGTTCTCTTCTGGTTGTAATGTGTGTATGTGTGCATGCATTTACCTCTGATGTTGCTGCTCCTATCTAGAGTAGATTAAGAAAGATACCTGAATATGGTGGCATTTCTGCATCATAGAAATGGGAGGGTTATCACACTAACTAGTGTGCTGTTTCACACAACACCAAGACTTCTGCTCCAGGACTAGTCCAAAATAACCTTAAAAGTTAAACGTGCGCTGTGTTATTATTCATAAATAGCAAGGTGCTTTTTCAATTTTGATTTTGATATTTATGGATGGGTTATCTCTTGCATCCTGGAAACCAGCAAGGTTCACTGTTGCAAGCAAGTTTTAGAGAGTAGTTTGGGAACTGTACTTGCTATTAAATCAGTTTAAAACTCAAATAATTTTGCAGTTTTTTTTTAAAAAAAAGAACTTTTCACAAGATTTTTCAGACTGCTGTCTGAGTCACTGTATTTAAAAATCCATTAAGAAGAGCACAGTCAGACCCTTTTCCTGAAGTTTTTCTTCTTGCTGCAGCACAAGGAGTGTCCCATGTGATGTACGGAACCATTGCAACGCTGCTCTTAGTCGCCCCGCTCCCGTCGGTGGTGACTCAACTCAGCCAAAACCTGTCAGCAGTGCAAATGATATCAGGTAGCTCCACCTTGCAATGTAGCAGACTCATCCCTGTTCATGTCACTCATCCAATCCGCTTGCATTTAGATACCAGTAGTTCCTTTGGGGTTCCATTGTGCATTCCATGTGATTTACTCGTTCTATTAAAGTTGTGCCATTAAAAAAAAAAAAAAAACCTGGCACAAGTGCCATGTTATATATTCAGATTAAAAAAATGAACCTTTTTTGCATGTTTGAGAATAAAATTTCAGGTTTCCTTGTTTTAGTATCACTAACGCATGCAGTTCATTTTCTCTAGCTCCTCTGCAATTTTATAGTAGCTGATTGCCAATGAACTACATTGAAAATGGAAGTTTTTATCTATATTTTAGCAGGAGTTGTAAGTTTCTGCCCACTAGAAGTATGAAATTTCCTACTGAAGCCTTTTTAAAAAGTTACCTTGGTGATAAATCCACAATCAGATGTGTGTTGGGAATACTAAATAATGCACAATGCACAAATGCTACCATAATTCATTTTTTACACTGCTTTCAAGTGCCCTGTATTACAGATAAGTAGAAAACAGAGCAAACATAAAGCATTTGTATCCAGAACATTAATAATGTTTTGAGTTAATTGTTTCTTTATATAGTAGCTAGCACCCGCATGGATCACTGCCTTGTCGTGGCGAGGGGGCTTGCGCGGTTCGATGAAGCTGTGGGCTATGCCGTGAAGGGCCACCCAAGACGGACAGGCCACAGCAGAGAACTCAGACCAAGAGTGTTCCCCTGGAGAAGGTAATGGCAACCCACTCCAGTATCTTTGCCAAGAAAACCCCAAGACGGGGACGGCAAAGGATGAGATGGTTAGACAGTGTCATAGATGCAACGAACATGAAACTGAGCCAACTTCAGAGGATGGCGGAAAACAGGAGGGCCTGGCGGGAGCTGGTCCATGGGGTCGCGAAGAGTCGGACTCGACTGTGCGACTGAACAACAAATAGTAGCTAGCTCCCATGGCCATTCCCCCCCTCCCCCACACTTCTCTCTGGCTTCTGTGCACTTTCCTCCTCTGCTGCTAGGACTTCCATGTGCACGAGATCAGTTCTTTTCCCAAGGAGCCCTTACATGCGCGGAAATGCTAGTGGCAGCAGAAGTGAGTGCTGCAGCAGAGGAAAACCTCTGCAGTGGCCTTAGAGAAGCACAAGGAACAATTTCATAGGATTTACTGGATTCCAGAAATGTAATGTTGTGGCATTCCACCAGGATCTTTCTGTCCGTTCTCTCCCCCCCCCCCCCCCCCAATCTCTTTCTCACTGATGTTCTTTCTCTCTCCTGGAACTTGTGAAGTCCTCATTATTCCCCCTTGTTGTCTCCGATACTGCTTCATTTTAGAGTAATTGAGCTATGACTACTCCCTAAAGGCTTATGGTCCATCTTCCCAAAATGCAGCCTAATGGAGTTTCTGAAGTGCCTGGATATTTTTCTATCCTAATAGTAGTAGCAACTTTGTCTAAAAAAGCAAACAAATGCCTATTGTTTGGGAAATCCACTGCCATTGAATAGCTCTACAAAGATCTATATCATTGTACCCCCCCCCTCCCAGCGCTTTCATTAACATGACCATGGCTGCTTCCATGTATTTGAAACTTCTAGTGCCTTGATACATTAGAAAAGGGGAGAGTTAAAGTGCTACTTAACGCAGCAGTGGTGTGTGTTCTTTAAAACAGAGGTTCCAGTGTCCCCGAAAACGATCGACTGGCTTCAATTGCTGCTGAGCTGCAGTTTAGGTCTTTGAGCCGCCACTCCAGTCCCACCGAGGAACGTGAAGGTGACTACCCTTGTGACTGTGATAGCGTGTGCAAATTGTTATATGTGGTTTTCTTAAATCATTCTATTATTTTGCTTCAGAATGAGACTCTGCCAAATTTGTCTGGCCTTGTGTTGCACCTAATGCATGTGGAAAACTTGGCAAATCAGAATCAGCCTTTAAAAATAGGTCGCTTCCATTAGGAAGGTTTCCAAACTGATCACAGCCTTCAGATGACTGAATTATTCATTGGAGTTATTTTATGTACCACAATTTACATGAAACTGCAAAAGGCAGCATACAAACAAAATGTTAAAATTTGTAATAAAATAATACTCATGAAATCAGAATCTGATAACGAATAAAACCACTTAAGGAGCAGTTAGCCTAGAGAGAGGCCAGATAATTATTAACTACATGCCCTTATTATCTTACTAAAAAGGTCTTAATTATCCTATGAAAAATAAGAAAAAATGAAGCCAGGCAGACTTCTAGGGGAAGCTACATGTGTTGAATAAATATAGGTACTGGTATTGAGACTGTTCCATGGCAGTACCTATACTGTGAATATTTAGTGCCTATGATTATGATACCTCTACCAACATGTTGCCAAATTCATAACAAAATCCAGAGAAGAAAGCAAGGAAAGCCATTGTGTTGTGGTGGTGAAAGTGTCAGGGACAAATCTGGGAAAATAACGGTTCAGATCTCCACTCTGCCATAAGGCTTGCTGGGGTGACCTTGGGCTAATAATGGATTCTTACAGGGTTTTTGCAAGGACAGTATGGAAGATAATGTGGAATGACACATGCCGCCCTGAGCTCTTGGGAGATGGGGGTGGGGGTGGGGTAAAAATGTACCAAATACTAATAAACTAAAATATACAGAAAAGTTCATAAGCTAGTTTTTCCAGATAGACGCAAGTAAGTGACAGCTAGAAGATATCCAGGAGGCGGTACCATGTGGTGCATGAATTAGCTTTGAACGTGGCCGCATTCAGATAATTTCCTGATTGATCAGGGAATTGTGTGTTCCACATATCACTTATGGATTGTTAATGGGAACTTAGAATATTGCAAGGTTTACATTGTTTTTCTGTTTGTTTGAAACAATCCTGCTTTTCATCTTTTCTGAATAATTTCCTCATGTACAGTTATTTGATTTCCTGGATAGCTTTAAATATCTATGGAATGAGTACTCCATAGCACTGTCCAGTGGTGAGAGGCTCAGCACCTGGTTTGAACAGCAACGTCCTCCATGTGAATATTCTGTACCATTGTAAAGTCTTTCATAATTATGAATAAATTCCATATATTTTGAATATACGTAGGAACCATTAAAACAGCGGGTGAAAGAACAGGTCGCAACTTGTTTTGGGCCAAAGTTTATCACAGCACTTTATTCTTACAGAGCCGTCTTATCCTAAAGGAGATTCTAGTGGGTCAACCCGAAGAAGTTGGGAGCTTCGAACTCTCATCAGTCAGACCAAAGGTAAGGAATGAGAGGTAGTTACTTGCCAAGAGGATTGTTGTAGATTACTTTTGGTATTATGTACAATTTTGGGAATTCTGTAAATACAAATTATTATAAACTGTTACCGGGTCTAATGGGCAGCAATCAAGACAGAGTTTGTATTTTGGTCAATATGAATGGCTGTTGAACTGATGCCAAATTTATTTTGTATTTATTACATCATTTATAGTATGCCTTTCTCACCAAAAATCAAGGTGGATTACACAGTGCAAGACAGTTTAAATCAACAGGAATGTGACATCCACTATGCAATACAATACAATAGTGATTTGGACTTCAGAAATCTGGAAAATAGCTGAAACAAAGCAGAAGCATTAACATGACACATTAAATGATGCAGAAATTACATAGCCGGTTCATACTTTCAGCAACAGACAGCATCTACTAGGCATAGTAATACAGATTACCGTTTCTATCCCTTTATTAAAGCAGCTGTCTGAAACATTTCATTACACTGTAGTCCTATTACTTGTATTAAAAAACATCCTCCTGAATAGTTCTTTTTTGCATAGTTTGCTGAAAGCCAGGATGATTGGGATTGTAGTTCCCGCTAAACTGTGCTAGGAGGCGCTAGCGCACACAATGCCTTGAGTCACATGGAAAAGAGGGATATAATTATTTGAATAAATAAGTCGTTTGGGCAGGTTGATAACATTTAAGCAACTTCCTGTTTGTTAGGTTAGGCAGTGTTCTGACAGTGATTGTTCCTCCTCTGTTATACTTGACCTGTAATGTGGGTTGTCATATTTCACTAAAAAAACTAAACTAGACTACAAAACCCCTCCCCCCCCCAAAGTGCTGGTATGTTTTCTAAGGCTCAGCACAGGGTGACAGTCCAAGGCCAGGTCTACCAGTATAGTGGAAAGGAATGGGTGAACTTTGACTTGATTCTGTTTTCTCTTATAATGTTTAAATTATTCTTCAAGTATAGTTTAAATATAATTTAAAAGAATTTATTCTGAGATATTTACAATGTTATAGAAGTAATCTAAAAATAATTTACATGATAGCCAAATGTAGACTTGCTCACAACTTTAGTGCCAAGTGTAGACTTGCTCACAACTTTAGTGCTACTAGCTTTTTTTTGCTCACGAGGTAGAATTTCTGCTCACAGCACTGTTGAGCACAGAGGGAACACTGAGAGACTTCTTGACCTCATCAGGCACGCCATTCACTACAGTAGAGGGCCATAGCAGAGGCATGTGTACAGGCAATTGTTGATTTTGCCCATTTGAAGGGTGCCACCTGCAGAAGGCCCTGCTCCAGTGGCAAAGCTGTTGTGATGGAGCATAGGGGAAAGGCAGTCCCACAGATATGATCAATCCAGACCATGAAGGGCTTTGTATGACATGGCCAATACCTTGAATTGAACCTGGTAGCTGATGGGCAGCCAGTGGAGTGATTGCAAAATGTGAGTAATCATGTTCCACCTAGCTCCTAATAATAATGGAGCTGTGGTGTTTTGGCCCAGCTGGAATCTCCAAGCTGACTTTTGAGGAGAAACCCATATAGAGTGCATTGCAGTAGTCTAGTCTTGATGTTACTGTGGAGCGGATCCAGGTGGTCATATTGTCCATGTCACGGTAGAGTGCCATCTTCTGGACTAGACTAAGTTGGAAGAAAGCATTTTTTGCAGCTGCATTGACCTACTTCTCCAGCAGCAATGCTGGATCCAGTATAACCCCTGGGAACTGAGTCAGCCAGGGTCAGCTTAACCCCATCAGAAATGAAAAGCACAATGACCTTCAAGATCTCCACCTTCCCAACCAGCATCACTTCCATTTTGTCTGGATTCAGTTTCAGTTTGTTTACTTTTAACCATTTGACCACAGCAGTCAGGCAGTGGCTCAAGAGCTCAACCGCATCACCAGAGAATTTGGATAGAGCAGTACAGAGCTGAGTGTCATCTGCATTTTGATGACATCCAGTTCCAAAGATACAAATTATTTATCTTAAAGTAGACATTAAATAACATGGAGGGTAAGCTTGCGTCCTGTGGAATTCCACAAGTCATCTCCTGCACTGAAGATAACTGGTCACCAGTGACAACCCTTTGAAGTGGTGGGTGCTACAAGCATGGACGGCTTCAAAAGGGAATTAGATAAGCATATGGAGCAGAGGTCCATCAGTGGCTATTAGCCACAAGGTATAGCTAGGGGCTCTGGGGCAAGTGATGCTCTGTCTTCTTGGTGCTTGGGGGGGGGTCAACAGTGGGAGGGCTTCTAATGTCCTGGCCCCACTGCTGGACCTCCTGATGGCACTGGTATTTCTGGCCACTGTGTGACACAGAGTGTTGGACTGGATGGGCCTTTGGCCTGATCCAACATTGGCGTCTCTTATGTTCTTATGTTCTTATTCTGATCTATGAGGAACAATTTAAACTCACTCAAGGCACATAGCTTGATAACTACTTCTGCCTCCAAATACAAGACAGCATGATCTACTGTATCAAAGGCTGTGCATAGGTACAGTAGGAGCAACTAGGAAGCGTGGCTTATTTCTACATTCAGGTAGAGGTCATCAAATAAGGCCACCAGGGCCATCTCTGTCCCATAGCCTGGCCTGAAACCAGACTGAGTAGAGCCAGAGCACATGAATGATCCAAAAAGACCTGGAGATGGCCTGTGGTTGTTCTCTCAGTCACTTCTCCTAGAAAAGGCAGATTGGAGACTGGGTGATAATTGGCCACATCCTTTTCTGTAGGGATTTTTTTGTAGTAGTAGACAGATAACTGCCTCTTTGAGAGGTTGAGAGAAGGTGCCATGAATTAGTGACTGATTTATGATGCACATCAAGGGGTCATTTATGTGGTTCTTACATGACTTTGGCAGCCTGGGTGGGCATGGATCCGGTGCACAAGTGGTGGCTTTCACAGATCCCAGGATCCTGTCAACACCTATCACAGTGATTGGGTCAAAAGGGCCCATAAGCAAACCAGATGAAGTGTTAGGCAAATTCTTTTTGGCCTGTATTACAGCCAGAATCCAGATTAGAGTGTATTTGTGTTATTTTTTCAGCAAAAACTTTGCAAAGGTGTCACAGCTAATCAATCAGTCCCCAGTGTCTCTAGTACCACATCTGAGAACTTCCTCCAACTCAGAGAGGTTGCCCAGTGGGGAACTATGTGCCTAGTAAACAAGCAGAATGCCTCTAGCCTTGGTCTTAGCAAATGTCCTAACACTTTGATAGTCTGGTGGAGAATGTCTGCAAGTTCTGACACTTGCTGATAGATCCTAAGACACAATCAAAACACCTTTGTTCCCCTGAGTTTTTCCAGTTCAAAAAAAGTTTGTTCTGTCACATCTTTGTGGCAAAGTAAGCCAAAGGCCACAGTACCTGAAAATGGGGTGGTGCAATCAATGCTTCCATACCATGTCATTTATAAGTTTGCCACCAAGCTGTCCAAAGAGCAGGGGTGACTGGGATGCCCATCTGTATTCAGACCAGCATTGTGCGTGCAAAGGAAAGAATTGCCCCATCTAAACTCTTACCTAAATTCCAGGTATTCTGAGTCTGGTTTTGCAGATCAGCTCCTATTCCACTCTGTACTTCTAACAAACTTTCCCTGCCCTTCCAGGTTAACCTGATCAGCCTCTAATGGTTTGTTTGCCAACTAATTTTTTTTGTCAGGGTAATGAGCAATTTTCACTGATTTCTCCCTCCTGTGGCAGGCCTTCAGTTTACTCCCCAATCAATTCCTGAGTGTCCTCTACACCCAGGAGCAGCGTTTGGGGGACATTTTGGGCTGCTGCAGGAGGTGGGGATGCCGGGAAATTGTGCTTCTGTGGATGGAAATCCTTGTGCTCCTGGGAATTGTGGGTGGGGTCCTGAAGTCTTTCATTAATGTGTTTGTGTCCTATTTTAGTAGCACAGGATCGATGTTGTGGTTCACAAGAAACAAATGTTTACATAACAGAACTTGTTCACAATTCTTGCTTTTTCTTCCTGCTTTTAGACTCTGCCTCCAGGCAGGGGCCCATGGAAGCAGTTCAGAAATCAATTCAACTATTTGAAGAAAAAAGGTACCGAGAAATGAGGCGGAAAAATATCATTGGCCAAGTTTGTGACACCCCCAAATCTTACGATAATGTCATGCACGTAGGCTTAAGAAAGGTGACTTTTAAGTGGCAAAGAGGAAACAAAATTGGTAAGTACTTATGGTAAGCTGCCTCTTAAGTTTTATTAAAAGCAGACCCCTGCCCAATATCCTAGAAGTTGTTTCCTTGCCTCAACTATTCACATGAAAAAAACCAGTATTTTACACATTTGTAGTAAGGTAAAATGTTGATGAGACTATGCATTCTGTTGCACAGCACATTTAAATTAATCAAGTGCAGACAGATGACATCCGTTTTTCCATGTGACTCCCAAATGGCAACTAACTTACACCTGTGGTTCATGATTGATGAATAAGCTTGCTTTCATTTTTTTGATATCCTTAATCCGGATTGGAATGTGTATTTTTAAAAATCAACTTGTGTGTTCATAATTTTGCTTTGTGCATTCACTTTAATTGTAGAACTCACTGCCAGTGGATGTAGTGATAGCCACAAGTATAGATGGCTTTAAAAGGGGATTAGACAGATTGATAAAGAATAGGTCCATCAGTGGCTACTATCCATGGTGAGAAAAGGGAGCCCCATATTCAGAGGCAATAAACATCTAAAACCCAGTGCTTGGAGCAACATTAGGACCTTTACCCTCTATGCCCAATTTGTTGGTTCTCCAAGGTGGCTGGTTGGGCATTGTGTGAAACAGGATCCTGGACTAGATAAGACCACTGGTTTGATGCAGCAGGACTCTGTATGTTACTGCAGTTTCCAAGTATTTACATCTTGTGATTAACAGTTACTACTGATCATTTAGAAATAAAAATTATTCTGTCCACGTGGTTATAGAAAATCGTCTCTTTGAAATCCATACATTTTTTGCTACTCAGTGTTATTTCCATTAGAAGAAAAGGAGCATATATATCACCTGGGGTTCAGTTTCCACAGTCACAGGAATATTATAGTTAATGAATGGAATTAAGCTTTTGTTCTTGGGGGACTTCATTCAAAAGAAATTTTGTGTTTGGAAGGACTAGCAACATATGATGTTACTCACCTAAAGCCTTAATTTATTGTTATCATTGGTGATAGTTACTTTTAGTTCTCAGATGAAATTATTTTTTTCTTGAGTCACTCTCTGTTTGCAGATGATGTGCAACTTTAATTCTCTTCAATAGATTTAATCATGAATACAATCTTTCCTAGCTGCCTGAAGAGGAGGGTTGTTTACTGAGGCCTTGATTTCAGTGGAACTTGCTTCCAGATAGATACGTGGATGATTATAGCCATAACTGTATTGTGTATCATATCACACAGGTCATGCTATGGCATTGTCCCTGAAAACTGTCTGAAAAAGGTTCTGTGTAGCCAGTTTGAGTGTAGTGATACAAAATGTCACTTTTGTTTTTTTAAAATAATCATATTAATTTATAAACAAAGGAAAAATTGCTTTGGAATTGGCCATCCACATGCAGTCTTTACAAGGATGGATCAGATACAAATCTTGGTTCATTCTGCCACTCTATTTTCAGGGTACTTAAAGCACTATTCTTCTAATTTTGCAGGAGAAGGTCAGTATGGGAAAGTGTATACCTGTATCAGTGTTGACACTGGTGAATTGATGGCTATGAAAGAAGTAAGTACTGTACGAATGAAATGCTCTGGATTTGCTTTTTAAAAGTATTGCTTTTAGGGGAAAGTCCCTTCTTACAGTCATGCATAAATTCTTCTCTTGTTATTTGTGAACTAGACATTTTAAACCTTGTCTAGGGGACCTTTTGGGCTGGGATCTTATGTGGATTGAAGGAGGATTAGAAATTATTATTATTATTATTATTATTATTTTGATATCACTTTGGAAATCACCTTGAACTTGAAAAAAAAACCTTTTTCAATAAAATAAAATTGTCTTGATGAGTAAACTAACATTTGCTTTTCTGTCCTACTGGCAGTATCTAAAGAGACCTGTAGGTGGCATATTGGGTTTTTTTCTGGCTTGTTTTGCTATTCAGTGCTTTGTGTTGGCAGCAGCATTAATGAAGAACACTGTCTTTTGCAGATAAGGTTTCAACCAAATGATCACAAAACGATCAAAGAAACTGCAGATGAGTTGAAAATCTTTGAAGGCATTAAACACCCTAACCTGGTTCGGTATTTTGGTGTGGAGCTCCACAGGGTAAGTCAGTATTGGTTATTTAAGCCCATAATAACAGAAGCTGCAAGCTGACAGGAAGGAGCAAAATCTTTGGCACCTGTTTTGTATCATCATGTTACTTTACATAAACCAGTCCAATAAGTTCCATAAATGGCATCATATCTGTTGTATGCATAAACTATAGTAGCAATTGAGATATGATTTGTGTTAGAATTGTGTTTGCCCTTTTAGTGTTACAGCATGTGATGTTTGATGATATAAACATGTTGACTCATTTTACTTGTTGTACATAGTATCCCTATTTGTGGTTCATTGCAGCAGATGGTTGCTGCGTTTATCCGTTGTCGGTAGAAAAGACCTTCTGATACCACAACAACTGCATGCATTTGATTAAAAATCGCTTTAAGTTTCCTGAAACATATCCAGTGTTCTCCATACAGAAGATGCAGGACATCCTAGTAAAACTTCTTTGCTCATAAACTACAGGAAGAAATGTACATATTCATGGAATACTGTGATGAGGGAACTCTGGAAGAGGTGTCAAGGCTTGGTCTCCAGGAACACGTCATTAGGCTCTACACAAAGCAGATCACAACAGCCATCAATGTTCTGCACGAACATGGTATAGTTCATCGAGATATCAAAGGTAAGCTATTCTATTTAACATTGTCCAGGAGGTTATGAGCACATGAATTCACACACACACACACACACACACAACTGATCTGTCAAAGTTAGTATTGTCTGCTCTGGTAGTGGCTCTCCAAGGTCTCAGGATAGAGTTCCTTCACGTGACATGTCCCACAACTTGGTCCTTCAAACTGGGGGTGCCAGAGATTAAACCAGGGACTTTCTGCATGCAGAACAGATTCTATACTGTGCAACTATGGCTCCACCCCAAATTAAATACGAAAATCAATAAAAATGTAATAACAAAACATGAGGCCAAGGTGAGATAAATCCCAGACAGGTTAAATCATCCCAGCTAAAGTGCTCTGTGTACCTTTCTGCTCCAGATAGGTTATTTTTGGGCGCTTCTGCAAGGTATTCCAGCTTTGTCTTTTCTGGGGCAGAATGTGCATGTGGCAGTTTCAGCAGCTGTGGAGCTGCCACAAAGAACTCACTTGGGAAGTAAGTTGAGAGTGCTTGAAAGGAGAACCCGGTGTTCTTAAATATTAGAGACCATAACAGAACATAGGGCAGAAGATGTTATCATGTCCAAATTGCTAAAAAGCACCCCACCCATGTTCTGGAAGGGAAGTGGGGGCTGGGGTTGGTGAATGTGACATTATCTTGCCTTCTGGTGAGGTAAACTATAAACTATTCATACTTTTCAGTTGTCAGTAAACTATCAGTTTATTAATTGAGGCTGACCACTCTGTAATAAACGGCATTCGTTTAGTTTAAGTTCTTATCTGGCTTTCGACTGGGAATCAGTGTGACTTCACTTTTTTATTTGTTAAAATTACAGGAGCAAACATCTTCCTTACTTCATCTGGGTTGATTAAGTTGGGAGACTTTGGCTGCTCAGTAAAGCTAAAGAATAACACACAGACCATGCCTGGTGAAGTGAACAGTACTTTGGGGACTGCAGGTAAGACAGGAGCTTTAAAAACACCCTTATGAATAACCTGAATGGTTGCCCAATAAAATATTATTTTTAAAAGTGCTCACATCTGAGTTGCTTTTTCTGAGATGTCTTTGCATTGAACCTTTAATTGAACTCCAAGGAATCTTCATTCATCTCTCCAAGGACCTTATAACTATATAGTGATGTGTTATGATAGGAAGTGTCCTGGAAAACAAAAAGTCCACTTCCAAAATCCCTACATCAGGATCTTCCATTTTATAATTCTTTCTACTGACAAAAGAGCACAGTGCTGAGGAATGTGCTGAGGTTTACCTCAGATTTTCATACATAGCATTGTTTTTAAAATGTTATGCATAGTCCAGAGGATCTGCAATGGTCAACTTAAGTCGTCAAGGCAAGTCACTATCTTGAAGCTTCTGTTTCTGCATTTCTGGAATGATTTTTCACATCAAGAGTGCCACAGATGGATGACTATTCCAACAGCAACTGTAAACCAAGACACTGTTGGATACCTCTTGGTTGCCTTATGTTCTTCACCTGCTTGTATTATTGGGTTTTTAATTGGAAAGCTGTGATGACTTGATAAGACCCCAAAAGTTTGCAAGCCTCACTAGGTTGTCAGGTTCCCTTCCAAATAAATACTCAAGCCTTAAATTAAAAAAAACAACACCTTTTGTAAACAACTGCAAATCAAACATATATGCTACTTTGTCCCTCATCCCTTCCTGTTGGTGGAGGACTGCCTCAGACGTTGGTCCTACTGAGGTGTTCTTCCTGTCTCTTCAAACAGATGTAGCCACAGATGTGCTAGCCTCTTCCAAGGCTATCTGTGCTTTTTGTCCTGCCTTCTCTTTGATGGCAAATCCTCCTTGACTTCAGCCTCTCTCATCCGGCTCTTGGAAAGCCTTCTTCATTTCTTCATTTCTTCTTCCTGAAGATCTTCTGTCTTCCACCTGCTTCTCAACTGTCAGGAAGGTTTCATCCAATCAACAGCTGACACATGGTTCTGGAATTCCAGACTTTAGGAGCCCCCTCAAAGCACCCCTCCTAATCGTAAACCTATTCTTAGGTTATAAAACTCTTCTTTAGTGATCCTCTAATTTTCCCTTAGCAACAGTCACTTGCTTCACTAAGTGAAGCTGCATTGTAACACTTTGTTCTCTTTGTTATAGAACTCATTTCTACACAAAGGTAGAATCTTAAACCATTTTAGCAGAAAATGCTATTGTTATTATTCTTTTTGGTATACTTTCTGTAACTGCTTGTTATAAACTTTGTGGAGTATCTGAAGTAAATGTAATATCATCAGTCCCCCTTAAGCATCTAGGCCCTAAATAGCTTTTATCCAATTATAGCAGGTTTTATTATACCAGTGTTCTTGGACCCTAGTGCTTCTCTCTCACACATAAAACACATGTCCATGTATCACCCTATACATATACACCCCACACACACATACTTATTGAATCAAATAGTAACAAAGGTGATGAGAAATATAAGAGAGTTTACAGAGCTAATATGCATTACAGAAATTTCAGAGTTCCCTCTCTTATAGTAGTAGAATTTTAGAGCACATGGCGGGGATGATAAGCAGTGGACTCAGGAAAGAAAAAGAAAACTACTCCACAAAACAGTTAATTTAGAGAATTCACTGCCACAAAAGGTGTAGTAACAATTGTCAGTTTAGGTGGCCCTGCATTGTAAACATTCGGGGGCCTCTGGTTGGCTGGCTACTGTGGGAGGCAGAATGCTGGACTATATGGACAGGGAGGTGATCCAGCAGAACTCTTCTTGTGTAACATATAGTATCTAAAGAGCCTGGGTTGAGCTGTGAGTAGAGGTTCCTGGCTCAAATATCTCCTGTGCCATAGGCTGCTTTAGGTAATCCAGTCTTATCCCCCATTCTAAATAGGGGTACAAGACTTTGACTCATGAGGAATAATGGATCAGGGGGAATCACATTTCCTCTCACCTTCCCCTTCCCTTGTCAAAGGTTTATCTTATTTCTCACCATCACCTCCTCCTCTTTCTCACAAAACTCCAGTGGGATTTTGGTTATTTTGTGCCATTGCTCTTAAATTTTTGTTTATTGTTTGTTTTTTTAATTCAAGCATTATTTTTTCTGAAAATCTGGAGGTTCCTGGAATTCTAAATCCTAGCTGTGTTGGCCCCATTGCATGGGTTTGGCCATTAGTGATCACTGAGTTACCTTTCAATAAGGATTGCTCAGAAAAAGGGGTGTGAGAGAACTATTTTGCAGCTTCCAAAGCCCTCAAAAATGCTTAGTCGCCTTTTTTATTTGTATGCTTCAAAAAAATAATACAATTTTGAACTTGATAATTCCAAAGGGGTAAGTAAAGATGAAGAGGAGTCTTGTGGCACTTTAAAGACTGACACGTTTTTATCCTGTCATAAGCTTTTGTGGATGCCACCTTTATTTGTAATAAGTGAAAGCCTTTAAAAAGGCTCAAAAAACAACATAGGCGGTATTCAAATAATTTCACACCAACAGCTGCTCTGTTCTGATTTGGTGTATGTTATAAGTTTATTCCAGCTCTTATGTGCTTCCATTTCATCAACTTTTTGATGTGTGGGATGCGCAGCATTGCTCAGATTTGATTATTTTATAGGACATGACTTCTGCTTCTGTAGCAGCTAACCGTGACTTCCTGTGAAGGCATTTCTGTTGTACTGCACCAGATATTGGAACTATAACCATTTAATATCTATGGTAAAAAATAAACCTTGTGAGAATATTTTTATAGCAAACTTTTCAGACAAGGAGCTGAGGGCAGGTCAATTCATGTCCCACTTGTCCTTGCATAACAGGTGGTTTATTGTTGGTTTTGAAGATTAATCCATTTGTTTAGAAGCCTCCTACTCCTTCTGCTGCATACACTGATGTCACTGTGTCATGTTGTTTCAAAGCATACATGGCTCCTGAAGTAATCACTAGAGCGAAAGGAGAGGGCCATGGACGTGCAGCAGACATCTGGAGCCTGGGCTGTGTCGTGATTGAGATGGTCACTGGTAAGGTAAGCTTGTTTTGTGAGGTCAGGCCAACCGTCGGTATTGATGCAGCTGCGTGGCAGTTCCAGACATTCTGTTACTGTCCCTGAAAACATTGAAGAGGGGTTGTATTTAGAATTTTGGAGTATTTGAAAATGTTTTGTTGGTTGTACTAATAAAGTGGACATAACCCGGGGGGTGCATTATATATGCATGGAAACACCTGAATGAAGGGTAGTGCAAAGGTTTGGTTTGATTTCCTCCATAAGAAGAAACACATGCATACACACCCCTTGTATCGTCAGACCCTGAGCTAAATCCTCTGTTCTGACTAGCGGCAGCTTCCCATGATCTCTCCGAATATACTTACTCTCGCAGCGCCTTCAACGAGAGATGGCAGTGATTGAGTCTGGGACCTTCTGCATTCAGAGTATTTGTTCTTCCATTAAGGCACAGGTGTTGTATTAGTGAATCACTGGGATGAAAATTATAATCTGTGAAACCACTTTCATGCTCTTTTTCTGGCTGTGCAAAATACTAGCGCCCCCCCCCCCCGCGCAAGTTCTGAATGTGACCATAGTTTTTTCTATTACCTAGTGGTTACAGAGTCAGACTAGTATCTGGGAGACCCAGGTTCCAATATCCACTCTGCCATGGGAGCTTTACGGGTGACCTTGGATCCAGCCACACACCCTCAGCCCCACCTTCAACATAGGGTAGTTATTGGGAGGGGAAATGGTGGAGGAGGAAACGGTGGTTGCCATTGGGGAGAAAAGTGGAGTATAAAGAGCTAAACACTGGAAGTGATGTCAGAAGGGGAATCATCTTCAAAAGCCTCCCCTTCCCTTCCCTTCCCCAGCCGGCCTGCCAAGGCGGGCAGGGGGGAGTAAAGAGAGAAGGGGTTTAAACCCCTTAAATTTAAACCCCTTCTCTCTTTGCTTCTCCCCCCCCCCAGCCCGCCTTCGCAGGCTGGCTGGGGAAGGGAAGGGGGGCTTTTGAAGATGCCCCCCTTTTTTGCTTCCCCAGCCGGCCTGCCAAGGCAGGCTGGGGGGGGGAAGCGAAGAGAGGAGAAGGGGTTTAAAGTTTAAACCCCTTCTTTCTGGAGTCACGCCACAGCGGCAGCGCAATCTCTCCATTCTATTCTATGGGTATAAAAAACCGACCCCTGGGTATAAATATCGAAATGCCCTGGGCATTGTGGAAAGGTGAGGTATGACTGTTTTAAATAAGGAAACAGTTCCATGTTTTGAACAGTGGGAAATTCTAAAGATGAGAGGCATGATAATTGAATTAGAGTTGAAGGCCTCGGTTTAGTTTTTAACACAAAAATTCACCTGTCTCTGTTTGCTGCTATTAACAAAGCCCTGGCAATTTTGAAAGCTCTCTCTTTTTTTGTTCTAAGCTTTAGTTGTTATTTTAGTTATTTAGTTGTTTTAGAAGTGCCATTCTTTGTGTTGGATTTCACTTTATTTTTCACCATTTCATCATTTGCTTTATTCTCCATTTTGTATAATAGTTATCTATACTGCTTCTGCATGTGTATTTATTCAAAAGAGTGTATTGGTCCAATTTTGTGCCGTATTTTACTTGTGGCCATATTCTGTTTGTCAAGCTCCTAGGCCAGTAGCAATCATCATTAAGCACATGCTAAGAAATTCAAGTGCAAAACTACCCTTTCAGTACTACTCTCCTTTTGCAGAGGCCCTGGCATGAGTATGAACACAACTTCCAGATCATGTATAGGGTAGGAATGGGTCATAAACCTCCCATACCAGAAAGGATAAGCCCTGAAGGAAAAGACTTCCTTTCTCACTGCCTGGAGAGTGATCCAAAGATGAGATGGACAGCTAGCCAGCTCCTCGATCATTCATTTGTCAAGGTCGGTTAAGTTTGTTTGGCTTTGATTATTAGTGCATGCTTATAATGAAACCAGGAGTATGTTTTCTAATAATGCACCTGTTATAAGCTGGGAGAGGCAACAAGTGCCCTACCTGTGTGTAGGGTCTTCATGGCTATCTCCAATCCTGATAGTGTCTACTCCTATTAAAGGTAAAGGTAAAGGTTCCCTTGCTCGAAAGCCAGTCGAATCCGACTCTAGGGTTGCGGTGCTCATCTCCGTTTCAAAGTCGAAGAGCCAGCGCTGTCCGAAGACGTTTCCGTGGTCATGTGGCCGGCATGACTAAACACCAAGGCGCATGGAACGCTGTTACCTTCCCACTGAAGTGGTACCTATTTATCTACTTGCAATTTCTTGCTTTCGAACTGCTAGGTTGGCAGGAGCTGGAACTAGAGATGGGAGCTCACCCCATCATGCGGCACCCGGTCTTGAACTGCTGAACTACTGACCTTCCACAGCCTGCAGTTCAGCGTCTTAACCACTTGAGCCACCGCAGCTCCTACCTACTCCTATTACTACTGGCTTAAATTTATTGGTGCATTTAATTTGTAAATTATGATGCTTGTAAGCCTTCTTTTTTACAAGCAGTTTAGAACTCAGTTAATTCACAAGTTCTTATCATGCATGAGGACCAAAATCTTCCCTGTAAAAAACGAGTTGTCTTAATCTGATCGTGGTAGTAACCACTCTTCGACTATTGGTCTGCAGTGGGCAAGTCAGTGTTAGTGAATAGGAACGACCAAGTTCCCTAGCTGTTTGGAACCTTTATGGAACTTCTGCACAATAATATTTTCCTATTGTTTAATCCCTCTCAGGTGTGCACAGATGAAGAATGAAGGTATACACATGTAGCCTCCTGTACTCTGGTGAAGTATCCTTTAATCACTACTGTATGTAATATTTACATAAAGACTGTGCTGAGAAATGGTATGAAGCTCCAAACCTACCGTGACTCAAGACTGCACAAGTGACCGGTGTCACTTCTCCTGCTGCTCTCGAACATTTTCCTTGGCACGTGTTGCTCCTGTGACGGCACCTGCGAGTTTAAAGAAGCTGCATGTTTCAGTGAAAGTGCCATTACTACTGTATAATGGACCATGACCCTATTTTTGTTCCTCCTTCTCAGTTTCTCATATGATTGAGTACTGTCATGTTAATATGTAGTATTTTTGAACTTTCTAGGTTCGAAAAACAACAACAAAGGTTAGTGTTATATCAGGCATTCTGGACCTTATTTTTAATCTCCTGTTTGTTGAGTGCACTGACTGTGAACTTCTACCTTATTTTTTGTTCTTTTTTTTATTGGCCAGCTTCAGATTTGTTATGCAAAGGCTGATTGATGAAATTCAAAAGCTTTTTCTCAATAAATGGTTTATTTTAGGAAGTCTTTGGTGCCTTATTTCGTTGCCAACACTGAATTTCATTGAAAGGTTCAAAGGGTTCAGTTTTACCTTATTTTGAAGACAGGTCTAGATTGGATTAGAACAAGCAAACACCCCCCCAAAAAAAAATTTCTTGGGAAATTATGTAATGCCTTTAGGACTTATTCACAGTAGTGATTTACTTCTGTAGCTTCTTTACCCAATCTCAAATACTTGGAAGTAACTGGTATATTTGCACTTAAGTCCTAAGTCTTGCACATACAAGCTCCATCAAGTTCACTGACATCTTATTTCCAGGAAAGTTTTCTTAGAGCTGTAACCTTAATGCCCAGCAAGTCACAGCTTCTCTTGTTGATTCCATATAGATCAAGATGCCTGCATTTAACTTTCAAACTCAACTTAAGCATGAATTACTTAACATGAAACTGAAGCCTTCGTGAGACGGCACAGACCACATTGGTGCCCCTAGGTCCACCAATGGATTTCCTAACACCCATTTGCTTATTTGACAAAGTATCTTTTCTTCACAGCCAATAACCACTCCTGGTTTTCCACTTCACAGCAGCAGAAGATGCTTCAGAATACCAAAGGACATATCACAGGTACACAAAGAACACCGTTGAGAACTAGTTTCCCTTTATCATAGGAAGATGCTTTTCCTGGAATTTCCATACATTTTGTGACTGCACCTATTCCTTATCCTCAAAATTCCCAAAAGTTCCCACAGGCTTAACATAATTGGGGACCCCCTAGCAGAGGCCAGACATCCTGGAATGCAAAGTCAAATGGGCCATAGAAAGCAGAAGAAGAAGAAGAAGAGGAGGAGATTGGATTTATACCCCGCCCTTCACTCAGAGTCTCAGAGTGGCTCACAAACTCCTTTCCCTTCCCTTCCCTTCCCCATAACAGACACCCTGTGAGGTAGGTGGGGCTGAGAGAGCTCTGACAGAAACTGCTTTTTCAAGGACAGCTCTGACAGAACTATGGCTTGCCCAAGGTCATCCAGCAGTTGCAAGTGGAGGAGTGGGGGGGGGGGAATCAAACCTGGTTCTCCCAGATTAGAGTCCACACACTTAACCACTACACCAAACTGACTGACTAACAACAAAGCTAGCGGAGGTGATGGTAACCCAGCTGATCTATTCAAAATCTTAAAAGATGATGCCAGCAAATGTGGAAAACACAACAGTGGCCTTGGATTGGAAAAGGTCAGTTTACATTCCAATCCCAAAGAGGGGCAGTGCCAAGAAATGTCCAAACTATCACACAATTGCACTCATTTCACATGCTAGCAAGGTCATGCTCAAGATCCTACAAGCTAGGCTTCAGCAGTACATGGACAGAGAACTGCCAGAAGTACAAGCTGGGTTTCAAAGGGATAGAAGAACTAGAGATCAAATTGCCAAAATTCGCTGGATTATGGAGAGGGCAAGGGAGTACCAGAAAACATCTATTTCTGCTTCATTGACTATGCTAAAGCCTTTGACTCTGTGGATCACAACAAACTATGGCAAGTCCTTAAAGAGATGGGAGTACCAGACCACTTCACATGTCTCCTGAGAAACCTGTATAAGGGTCAAGAAGCGACAGTTAGAACAGGATATGGAACAACTGATTGGTTTAGCATAGGAAAAGGAGTACGACAAGGATGTATATTGTCCCCTTGCTTATTTAATTTATATGCAGAGTACATCATGCGAAATGCCAGCCTGGATGAATCACAAGCCGGAATTAAGATTGCCGGGAAAAACATAGACAACCTCAGATATGCAGATGATACCACTCTAATGGCAGAAAGTGAAGAGGACCTAAAGAGCCTCTTGCTGAGGGTCAAAGAGGAGAGCGTAAAAGTTGGCTTGAAACTCAACATCAGAAAAACTAAGATCATGGCATCCAGCCCCATCACTCCTTGGCAAATAGAAGGGGAAGTCATGGAAGCAGTGACAGATTTGACGTTCCTGGGATCCAAGATCACTGCAGATGGTAACTGCAGCCATGAAATTAAAAGATGCCTGCTCCTTGGAAGGAAAGCGATGGCAAACCTAGGCAGCATAATAAAAAGTAGAGACATCACCCTGCTAATAAAAGCCTGTATGGTCAAAGCAATGGTATTCCCAGTAGTAATGTATGGCCGCAAGAGTTGGACCATAAGGAAGGCTGAGCGCCGAAGAATAGATTCTTTTGAATTATGGTGCTGGAGAAGAGTTTTGGGAGACCCTTGGACTGCAAGGAGATCAAATCAGTCCTAAAAGAAATCAACCCTGACTGTACCCTGGAAGGTCAGATACTGAAGCTGAAGCTTGAATACTTTGGCCACCAAATGAGAAGGAAGCACTCACTGGAGAAGACCCTGATGCTGGGAAAGACTGAAGGTCAAAGAAGAAGGGGACGGCAAAGGATGAGATGGTTAGACAGTGTTACCGAGGCAACGAACATGAAATTAAGCAAACTCTGGAGGACGATGGAAGACAGGAGGGCCTGACGTGATGTGGTCCACGGTATCGCGAAGAGTCGGACTTAACTGTGCGACTGAACAACAACAACAAAGTAGAGGCCTCAGGAAGACTAATGTGTCTGTTTGCAAAATCCATTTTTTTAAAAAAGGTGGGTGCTCAAGCACTCTGTGAAGGATTTGCGTGTATAATTTTTGAAACAGAGAGCGAACTGATTTTGGAGCGTGTGGAATGTTCTAGAGAAGTGCCAGTACCATTCGGCTTTTATTTATAAGGGAGATGTGTGAAACTGGTTTGTTGATGAGCCACTGAGTGGTCCAATGAGCTAATCTTGAAGATTTTATCCTATGATAGTTCTTTGCATAAAAGTTTCATATTCAAGCAGGCTATCACATAATAGCAACTGCTGTGGGGCTCACAAACACGCTTGTTGAGGGTTGCTAGCCTTAATCTTTAAGGCTGATTCATATACAGAGGATCAGCAATTTAAACTATGAGCAATAAGAATATTCTTGCCTCTCTATTTAAGAATGCAAATTGAATGTATTCTGTGGAATCATGTAGTTGATAGGGTCTTTTTTAAAGCAGAGCCAATACAGTGTTTGTATCCCATGTGGAATTCACAGCCAGAGGATGTAGTGATGGCCACAGGAATAGACAGCTTTAAAAGGGGAAGATACATGGAGGTGGCCACTAGCCATGGTGACTGAGGGAAACCTCCACATGCATGTGCCTGAATCCCAGAGCCAAGAAACCACATCAGGGGAACACCTTGGCCTCTGTGCCCTGTTGTTGGCTCTCCAGAGGAACTGGTTGGCCACTGTGTGAGACAGGATGCTGAACTAGATGGGCCATTGGTCTGATCCAGCAGGACTCTTCTTAAGTTCACATCGTTTTGAAGTAATGTCAGATGGTTTACAAAAATTACACACTTAGCAGTCATTTCATTTTAAATTCTCTTTATTTTTTTATAAACAAATGCAAGACTACTTTTTGTTAAGGCAATTTTAAAACATACAGTTTCTCATGGAGGGGGTGAACACTGATACGAAAACAGGACAATATAAAATTGCTTTACTACACCAAATTAGTTTAAATTTTTTTTTGACAAGTATCCTTTTATTGTCAAATGACCTTACCTGCCCACTTGTGGAATGGGTATTTCATATGTTTTTAAAGGTACAGCTCCAAATTTAAGAAGTTTTCACAATGGCAAAATAATTGTCTGTGATAATCACTGGAAGGTTGTAAAACTGCTTCTACCTCAGTGCCTCAAGGAATGGTTTGATCCAATTATCGTATAAGTTCTCTTCTGTAAAGGATGCTAGTGTTTGAATAGAATGATCATTAATACGTAATTCTCTGCCATCCATGGCCAACCTTTCACCCTCCGACTACTGAACTACGTAGCTCTTAAAACACTTTTCCAGGGTGTTCTTTGTGTTTAGTCCTCACAGAATTTATATTCTGTGTTCTTGGGCATGATCCCAGGTAGTGTGGATATTTTTCCTTTTAGCAAATCATTGGCACAGCTCCAGTTTGCTTTTTAAACTTCCAAAGTTCTAAAGAAAAAAAATAGGTTACCGGTACAAGACCTGCTGATAAAGAAACTGCCTCGGTTGCTTGCATACTTTTCTTCTACAAAGAATTTCCATCGCGGTAGCTGTTGTGCCAATTGCTAAGATGTGGTGAACCTTCGTAAGCATAGTCATACAGAATCGCCTCAGAGACTATTCTGGAGTTTTAGGATTGATGGCTATATATATATACCTGAAATATGTAATCATCATGTTGATATCATTTGAGAACAGTTTTCTTTTAAAGCTGCAGTTCAAAACGTTTACTGTTTTACTCTGCATCATATACCTTTATTATCAGGTGGCCCACAATTGTACTTGGAATTCAAAGCTTTGATTCCCTTTTGGCTTATCTTTCATAGGATATGGTTATATCTGGTGTCTCTTAATTTATGCCAACAGCACAAAGAATTGATACTTTCTAAAAGGGCTAGGCAATGATTCTTAAGCTTTTTAAAGACGCTTGTCCCTTTCTTGGCAATATTTTTGTAATGTGCTTTTCTCTGCATTGAACCATTCCATTCCACTAAATTAAGATATGTACTCCTCTAAGCCATTGACTTCAGTGGATCTAGAAGGGAGTAACTGCTTCGGATCCCACTGCTAGAAAGCAGTCCTAAGCCAGTCTACTCAGAAACCTATTTGGTGCTGTTCATCACAACTTGCCCCCAGTAACATGTTTTTACAGCTGCACTGTTGAAGGCACCACAGTTGGAGGAAGTTGACATCTAAGCCACTTCATGCTCTTACACAAAGCCTTTCTTGTATCTCATCCATCTTCCCTTTGACCTGTTTCTCATGGTAGACTTCTTCCTTCTCTTCTCCTATAACTTGTTAACCTTTGTACTTTGCAATCCATAGTAAACAAGAATAAAGACGGTGACATTCAGAGGATTAACGTACACTTTCTTTAACATCCATTGGGGCGATGCTGACTGCTGGGTACAAGGGTACTGGGACAACCACAGATCTTAGCACAAATGTGCTAGGTGTGCATTAACGATTTAACCATTTGTATCTCTTTATAGGCCGCCTGTCTAAATATTCTAAATATGTAGTAAAAACAGTAATTGCAGTAGTACAGAACCTAATGAATCTGGCTCCCAGTCTTTTAATAAAATGTGCATTTGACTAGATGAGTCTTCCATCTGTTAACCTCACCAACATACAACCACTTTGCACTGAAGACTTAAACATAGACACCATATATTCTTATTCTACAATGTTTCAACTATCGTCCCTTCCTCTCCAGTTTGATATGTATGATTTGCAATAGGAAATCTTTGCTTTCTGCTACTATAGATATTTCTCTGTTAGTGTATTGGAAATTATATTGTGGTATTTACGGGAAAAATTCAACACACTCTCATATACAACAACCTGAGAAAACAGCAATACGACATGATTGGGGGGGGGGGGGTTAATCTAATTGAAATCAAGCATTTTCAAATGCAATTGATTTCAGCCAAAGACACTTAAACTGTCTCAAGTAGCACTGGTTGCAACGGGAGAGTGATTAGCTTTGGCAAGATCTTCCCCCTTATGTTACAGGAACACCACTGAGTAACCCTGCAAGGAAAACAGCTACTGAAGTGATTTCTGTTGTAACCACACTCCCACGGTGGTGGTAGTATCTAAATCACAGATGGTTCTTGTGCCTCACAGAAGACAGGAATTGGGCAGGCCCAGCTTACCCTCTTATTGGGCAGCCCCACTATAACGCCTGCAGTTTAAATCACCTGAGTTTTCAATAATGGTTGTAAGTTAGAGGATATGCAGGTACATTTCTGCCATGACATTTGACTGCACAGTTACTGTGGCAATAGCCAAATTACACCGAGTCCTTTATAGGACATCATCCTTCCCCAAATCTTGAGAATCTCAGTCTCATGGATGGGAACAGGTCCATTACCCCTTTCAAGCCATGCAGATATGTGCACAAGGCACACTTTCTGGCAAGGTGTGACATTCCAACTTCCCTCACGCATTGTCCAGTGACCCCTAAGGTGAACTGACACTTCTGCATACTTAACAGAGACATTTGTCACTGTGGGAGGTTCTACTTTTCACGTTTTGTAAATACAAAAAAACTAAAATGGGTATTTTTTATAAGAAAGTAAATTTATTTGATCAGTTAGAAGGATTTTTTACCTCAAAGTGGACAGAATGAGATAAAGTGGAACAAACTCCTCAAAAGCATTCTCTGCTAGGCTGCCCCTTTGCATATTTGTTATCCTAATTATTAAAGACACTTCCTGTGAAAAGTCAGACATGGGAGAAGGCTTGTATGGGGGGAAATTATAGAATCAGCTGCAGAATATCAACCAGCAGGGTGAAGGGGAAGGAGAGAAAAGAGTCTAAATTCTGCTAACATCTGGCTTGCCCTCCAGTGGGCGTTTTCCTTGTCCTCATATTTGAAGAAAAATAACCTGCACAACAATTTGCAGCAGGTGTGCATGGTCCCTTTGGGTGTGAAGCAGTCTCTGGAGAATTTCACTTTAGTTTCTCTTTGTTAGCATGGTTGCCATAAGTTGAACCGTTGTTAATTTCTGTAACTCCTATCATCCATCGAACACCAACAGAAGCTGAAAAATAAATAAATACTATATTAGAATATAATTGTTAGGTGCAGTCAGAGAAAGCACAATCTACCTTCAAACAGCACTTAGAAGAACATCTGCGAAACAACGCTGTCATGTGTTACAGACACTGCAGAATGTTATAGGACATTATATAAAAGAGAAGAAGCGTCACCAACCAGTAGGAAAATGGTACAAATAAATGCTTAGTCTGAAGTCATACATCCAGGTCACAAAGGGCCTGTGTCCAAAACAGATGAGCAGAAGACTACTTTCCTGTTCTGGTGCCTGAAAGATCTAACTGCCTAGTGTCAGCTAGCTGCCATATCTGTGTAGTCTACCCTTCCCTCTTCCCGCTTTGCTTGCAGCTCAGCAGCTTGCCGTAAACATGCCAGGGAGCCGTGGGAGCTAGATGCCATTATCAGTCTGGCCTTGTGCGTTAGGGAGGGCTTGGGGTCCACATTTGGTGTGAATTTTTCTGCTCTCAGGGAACCATAGGACTCTCCCGCTCATTATGTAATCACCCGCCGGGAGTCTTCCCGCACGCGTGCTCGAAGTTCATTTGCTTAGCTAATTGCCTTGCCCAGCTATATGTATTGGGATGTTCCCGCCTTCTAGTTATTCCTAACAATAATCCTGTGGACATGGTACCAGTCTTGTACACTAATAAACATAACGCTTCTTGAGAAATGTGTGTGAAGAGTTACTTGCTGTGGAACCTGACAGAAATTGTTAGGAATCTTTTTTCTTTTCTCCATCATTGACAGGCATTTTACAAACCATTCATTGCGCATGAAGTTAGACAATTTGATTATTGCCTAAAACACTTTTATCAAGCTCATGCTACTATTTCAATCTGACGTGGCAAGAAACACAACAGTTCAACCTGTGTCATGTGGTGTTTAGATAATGTGCAAAACAAAAATCTGGCCTCCGTTTAAAGCATGCTCATTAAAGACAGATAGAGACAAAGGGAAGGCCACTGCACGTGTAGTCTGATGGGCAATAAAAGAGAAGAAGCGTCACCAACCAGTAGGAAAATGGTACAAATAAATGCTTAGTCTGAAGTCATACAACAATTTGATTATTGCCCAAAACACTTTTATCAAGCTCATGCCACTATTTCACTCTTACGTGGCAAGAAACACAACAGTTCAATCTGTGTCATGTGGTGTTTAGATAATGTGCAAAACAAAAATCTGGCCTCCATTTAAAACATGCTCATTAAAGACAGATAGGGACAAAGGGAAGGCCACTGCACGTGTAGTCTGATGGGTACGGCACACTAATGGCAGACTCCAATGACCACAGAAAAAGAAGCTGCTCTCCACCTTGCAGCTGTCTAGTTCTATGACTACCTGGCTAGTCTCAACTTATCAGGATGCAAAGACACTGCTTCCTTAACTACATTTGTAAGAGCAAAGGAACTAGACACCAGCAGTATCCGGCACTGAGACAGCTGTTACAAGAAAGCAGCTCCAGCCAGAAAGAAAAGACCAGGAAGATCCTTTATTTTTGCCAAGTCCCCGAATCTGTGATATATCTGTGTGGGGTGATGTTTTGCTTGCTGCAGCATCTGAAGAATCACTAGGGCCCAGTCAAGAAACCTAGGGCCCAGTCAAGCCCACATTCAGCATTTAGAAGTCTTCTTGATTTCAATGGAGGAGATTCCAGCATATTCTCATTGGAATTAAGGGGATTAAAAGCATCTACAGCTAAATCATGCGCCCAATCTCTCACACTGAATCTTTAGAAAGGTAGTTCATAAACTCGTGCTGGTGTTTAGCTGAATAAAATCCAGCTAGGATCTACAAGTCATTTAGTCTTCAGTCTCTCTACTAGGCTAAGAGATGCCATTGTGTTCTCAGACTCTTCAAAGGACCATATTCACCCACACTAAACACTCACTGCAATGTACTCATCCTTCCTTCAATGACTTGAACACATGGCATTTCCCCAAAGCCAGAAGGCACCACCTTTCCTATGCTATACAGAAAATCTCAGGAAACTAAATATAAGGAACTGAAAGGTAGTTCATAAACTCGTGCTGGTGTTTAGCTGAATAAAATCCAGCTAGGATCTACAAGACATTTAGTCTTCAGTCAGTGCTGGTTACCAGTCTCTCAACTAGGCTGAGATGCGCCATTGTGTTCTCAAACTCTTCAAAGGACCATATTCACCCACATTAAACACTCACTGCAATGTACTCATCCTTCCTTCAATGACTTCAACACATGGCATTTCCCCAAAACCAGAAGGCACCACCTTTCCTATGCTATACAGAAAATCTCAGGAAACCAAATATAAGGAACTTAATTATGTCAAGATTAGCTTCCTTGTGTTTCCTTGAACTGTTAGTCAACACAATTCAAACCATGCTCACAAAATGCTGTTTGGATCAACAGAAGCATTGAATACAAGAAACTTGTCATAATACTTTTAAAAATCTTAGTTCAAGAATGGCCTCTCTTTCTTTCCCATCCCAGGAACCCTGAAGTCTCTTTTCACCCAGTACCATGTGTTCTAATTAAGTCCGCAACACATAGTCTCAATTTTAAGAAAATTTAACAAAAGAGAGCTGTTTTCAGGTATGATATTGTGATGGACTACACTTCTAGAAGTGCTATGTAACCAGATAAAGAAGGGTTAATTCTTCACAGAGCCAGAGAGCCTTGAGTGACAGGCTGTTCCAAGAGATCTGATTGGTTAGCATCAGCTGAGCAGAGAAAGACTTCTGAACTGGATGCTGAGGACAATTCAGTCCTAGCTGAGAAGAGTTGAGTACTGACAGTTTCGGAGTTCAGCCCTGACTGACAGTAGGTTAACACAGACAGGAGAACTGGGGGAAAGTTGGCAAGGAAGTTTGGAAACTAGGCAAAGACTCCCATTTGGGCCAAGAAAAGGGGTTAGAGCTTCTAGAGAGAGAAGAAAATTTCCTACCCAGTCAAACAGGGAGTAAGTTCTGAAGAGTGAAGAGACCCCTGGTCTGCTGTGGTTAGAAATTCCCTTTAGAAACTAGGGGTGTGCAAAAAAGAAATTTGTCCCGATTCGTATTTGGCCGAATCGGGTCTAGTCAATTTCGGCCAGCAGAAAGACTCCCGAATGTCAATTTCAGCAGTACCAGGGATTCCAGAGTCTTTTGGCCAGCCGAATGTCAATTTCAGCCCCAGTATATCCTATGGGCCATTGAAGTCAATGGCGAAAACATAGGTTATATTTGGGGGGCTGGAGGGGGTTTGAGGGAGAGGCTTCAAACTTGCAGGGTAGCTGCTGGAGCCTCTCCTCAAGATACTCACCATGGTTCAAGAAGATTGGACCAGGGGGTCCAATTCTATGGGCCCCCAAACAGGTTGCCCCCATTCCCACCATTGTTCTCTATGGTGGGGGGGAAGTTACTTTTCCCCATGGTGCTGTTAGTGGCTTTGGGGGGGAGGGGATTTGAGGGTGAGGCTCCATATTTTCAGGGTAGCTTCAGGAGCCTCTCCCCACATAAACCCCCATGTCCCAAAGAAATTGGACCAGTGGGTCCAATTCTATGGGCACCCAAACAGGTTGCCCCCATTCCCTCCATTGTTTCCAATGGGGAAACCCAGCCAGCAGATCTTAAGGCAGGCAAGCAGGCAGCATCCAGCAGTCAAACTCTCCCAGAGAATCTCAGGGAAAGTGAACTGTCTTGGGAGGTGCTTGTTTGCCATGAGAACAAGTGGTACACTCCAGAACAAGTGGCACTGTGGCACAGCAAGCATGCCATAGTGCCACACAGAAACCCTGAAAGGCCAACAGGAACAACATTTATACAGGCCCTGCCCTGTATAAATTGATGGTGCAACCTCATTGGACCACTCACATCACACACACCTAAAAAAAAGATATTTATAGCACTGGGAAAAGTGCAGAAAAGGACAACTATGGCCCCGGTCACACGGGCAGGAAACTGCAGGGGAGAAGCGTGGCTGTTTGCCCTGGGGCAAACTACTGCGCTGTTACGCGATCAGACCTCCCGTGGAGGTTCTGTGGAGGTACTGTGGAGGTTCCATGGCAAGGGAGAGGTGCTGATCACAGGACAAGCCGGCGCGCAACGAAGAAGCGCGCGCCGCGGCAAACTGTTTTTTTTTGGTGTGTACACGACAAATGTGCATGCTCCGTTGGGTGCGTGTGCGCATCCACAGAGACGTGGACAAAAAAAACCACCTTATTTGCAAGGGGACATGGGCGGGCGCCGGATGCCACCGGAAACGCGATCAGACGCCCGCCCTTGCCCCGCAGTTTCTGGAAACTAGTACCTCCGAGGTACTAGTTTTTTGCCACGCAGTTTCGGCTGGAAGCCTCGGTTGAGCCACGGGAGTGCTACGCTTCCCAGATGTGCTGGTGAGATCGCGCCCGGAAACTCCGCCTGTTTTCCGTCTCACTTGTGTGGCTTCTGTTCCGTGTGACCGCAGCCTATAATGATAAGAGGAGGACACTTTCCCTATGAAGAAAGGTTAAGGCACTTGGGGCTCTTAGCTTTGAGAAACAGTGATTGAGGGGTGACATGATAAGAGGTTTACAAGACTATGCATGGGATAAAACAGGTAGAGAAAGAAGTACTTTTCTCCTGTCCCTTTCTCACAAGACAAGAACTGGTGGGCACTCAATGAAATTGCTGAGCAGTCAGGTTACAAGCTAGAAAAGATTAAAGGAAGTACCTCTTCACCCAAACAGTGATTAACACATGGAATTCACTGCCACAGTGGTGGTGGTGGTTGGCATCAACAGCTTCCAGATGGAATTTGACAAACATATGGCAGATGGTGCAGAGCAGTGGTCCATCATCTAAGCGCCGGCTTGGTTGGGAACCTCGTAGCCACGGGGTGCAAGCCATGGAAGTGAAGGGGGTTTAAACCTCCTTCCCTCTCTGGCTGTTTTTTTGGCTGCCGTCGAATTTGGCGGTGGGCCAAATCAGACCAGAGAATCTGACTTGGCCCACGGCTGCCAGAAAGGGGGCCAAATGGCCCATTTTTGGGGAT